ATAATCCATTTTATTAATATAATCCAGCTACTATTTTACATTTAACCAAAAAAAAAAAAACAATGCCCTCAAATATTTCAAATATTTAGGAACAGAGGATACACTGTACGGATTTTTCCATATTAAAGAACGTACAACATGTATTTATAGTAGATAGCACATTAGTTATCACATTTCACCACTGAATCAAAATCGAAATGGAACTTAAAGGTGAGAACACAAAGACCTTTTCATTTCCCATGTGCTTTATTTATCAGTGTTGTTGTTTTTGTTGTTGTTGTTAGTTTCATTTTTCTTTATTTGACCAAAACTTGAAGAGAAGAATTCCATTAGTCAATATTATATTGTTCCTCATGCCGACTTGTTAAATTAAGATATTCCAACTTCTTAAGTACTTTGTTCCGGAAACCCACTCCCAACTTCATTAGTAGTAAATGAAAACAGTTTTGAGGCACGAGATTAATATGGTTGGTTGTTTATGGTTAATCACCAGGTTAAATAAAATAATTAAAATGACTTGGTCTATAACCATAATCTTGTTGATCAGATATTCAGACGTAGTATATGCACTTTCCAGAGATGTCCTTGTCATTTGAAGGTCCTCCTTAATTATATCAAGATAAAGATTCACTAGTGTATTTGCTAAAGGTCACATAAGTTGAATATATACCTTTATGACTAGGTTTATTTCTTAAAAACATATCTTCTAGAAACTCCTATTTTCGACTATATTAAATTTGTATTCAAGTTGTATAAACTTTTTTAAGAGACAAAACTCGTCCAGTTAAAATTTTAATTACTATTGCATGATTATGTTAGAGGTAAACCACGATCGTTTTTAATATGATCTTGTATCTTTATTGTCTGGAGTCACTCTTCCAAGTGCTTGTTTGTGTTTGTTTGTTTTTTTTTCATTCATTTCGTTTACCAATTACTAGATATATAGATTACGACAAAAATAAAATAATGATGACTGATTGTGAAATTCAAGAAGCAAAACGTACATTAATCTTTATCTCAAATAATCTTTCAATCAACTTGCACGATGCGTAATTGTGAACGCAGAAAGTTCAAAGTTCAAAGAAAATCTCCAATTTATACCATAAGAAGGAGAATCTTTATTTAGTCATCAATTTCATCGAGGAATCATTCTTCAATTCTCTAAATCCCATAACTTGTCTCTGCCGTGGTACTTGCGCCACGGGAACAAGTTGAAGAGGGAATTAGATCTCATTCTTTCATTCGTATGCACACATAAACTAAAAATTAAAAAAAAGCCACTAAACCATGATTGTAGCTTTCCAGATATGATTTCAGGGTTTTTTTTTTAAAAAAGTTTGAAATTAAAAAACCATTCCATCATCAACCTAAAAAGCTAGGGGGTGGAGATTTCAGAATAAGTTTAATCCAGTCACGTCCACTTTAAGCCCGCACGAACATTACCATCAAAGGGCTATCAGCATTATTTTATTTTATTCTTTTTAAATCATTACCGTCGGAAACAAGATTTCGAATTTGATTATAATTATTTTAGGATAAACGTCTCTTTACTACACCAAGATTGATGTGGGAGTGGGACATTCACCAAATAATACTATTAGTGAGCTTTTCTTTTTGCCCCCTTTTTTAATGTAATGTAGCCCAAAAACCCTTTATAATTATTGGAATCAGTTCAGGCATATTTTCAATTAATATATTCATTCTTTAATGTCACTGTCATATATTTAGCCTAACTTTATCATCAATGGCAGGAGGAGTAACATATATCACGCCTTCATATCCATAATGATGTTTCAGGATTGGATTTTGTTTTTCTTTTTCCTGAGTGGTTCAGTTCTTTTTAGCAAGTAATCAATCATGCAACTGCTTGAGTTGCGCGCGTCATGGGTGTTAAAATCATAATCATCATGATGGTTCCGGAGTCATTATTGTCATTATTATTGGTTCATTAATCACTACTTAAACTAAATTCTTCTCATACTACTACTTGGTTAGTACTAATAGCATCTTTCTTGAAGAAATCAACGCGATATATAAAAAAAAAAAAAAGAAAGAAAGAAAGAAAGAAAAGTAATCACGAAAATGTGACAACTTTGCCCAATCACTTTGAACCCTTTGATTTCTGTAATTAGGGTTTTTGAGACTTTTGGTAGGTAGCCAATGACTTTTTAATTCTGGCTTTAGACGGCGCTGATTAAATCAAATAAGAAGAATCGTAGCTACGGATCGGGCGGGAATTGCTTGCTACATGCATCAAGATCAGCTAATTAATTTGTAGCCCACAGGATAATGAATAGAATAAAATTCTTAAAGCAGGGTTTTGTGAGAGATTTGCTACACGTACGAACGGCGGAACATTCTTAAAGTAAACAAAGCAGAAAGCTATGTTAACAACTTGACTTCAGCTTTTCTCCTGAAGAGAATCGTCTTTTGATTTATGATCTCGAAGCTTACTAGTCAACTCGAAATGTAGTACATACAATCACGCTACGTACCCTTCGTTCTATAACGTGTATACGTTCAATCGTTTGTTTCCCTATCCGCTACCAAGAATCAAAAACTTACCAGTTATCAATATTTGGTCCAGGATGAATGTAAAGATCGTGATTCTGCCCCGACGTTAACATTTTTATACCCTACAAATGTAATGATACGTAGTTGTTTAACTAAAATTTTGAGGCACAAACATTCCGTAATTATTATGTACAATCAACAGTGCACTAATAATATCAACTTGTGTTACATAATTTTTTTTTGGACGTACTGAAATGAAATGCGAACGAATCTTCTAATAACTTCTTATAAACAAATACAATGTTCATGCCTGAAGTCATTTGTTAAAAACTTTAAAGGTTTAAAATTGCTCTTCGTTACATTTATTGTCATCTTCAACATTCAGTTCCGGAGTCAGGGATACGTACAAGCGACACTTTTTCCACTTTTTTTTTTTTTTTACTATATATACATACAGTGACAAATTATAGTGAAATGGAATAGTGAGAGATAAAAAAACAAATACACTATCTTTACTAAATATGTGTACTTATTAATTAAAAGTAAAAATATAATTTTAGAAAAAATAAAATTTTAACAGAAAAATGACAAAAAATTAGGGGTCAAGAATACTCCACATCACTCACTATCTTCCTTTCACTATTTTTTTTTCACTATACATATCATTTTTCATATACATATATCCGTTGTACGTCTAACTTTTTCCTCTATGCTTAGTTCATCTTTACATGCTTAAAATATTGTAAAAGTTATAAGTCATTTGTATACATTTCAGTATTTCACACATTTTTGTGAAATTTATGTATCCGTCGGTATCAAAATGGCTATAACTTTTATCACATATAACCACATTTCTCTAAACAACAAATTTCTGCACCAATAAATAAGTGACAATTTCAGTACAAATCATCATAAATGAAGCGCAACCAAACAAATGATTACATACCATCCAATTAATACACACCCTTAAAAGACTACTAACTATATAGTAGTATGAACGTAGTATGCAGTATGAACAAAATTTACACCCCTGTGACAAAATCAGCTAGCAAGCAGAACTCACACCACAATTAAAATCATGAATGATTTAACCTTTCTTGCTATTTTCGTTCGAGAAAAATAATTTAATTGCAAAAACTATAATATAAAATTGAACTTACGAGATTTATATTATATATTTATAAAATGGACCGTAGAAGTGATTAGTAGACATGAACTTTTTAATTTGAAAGATTAATCTATTCAATTTGTACTTAGATTTTAATTTTGCAAATTTAGTTATTTTTTCTGGATAAAGGAAAAATCATCATCCTACTAACGGAATTTATTTTTGGATACTGTACATATTTATTATAGTGGATTTCCAAGCTGTTTTCTTTTGCGCGTTTTCTTATTCCAAGTTGTATTTATGAGGAGGAAAAGAAAGAGAAAGGAAAACCAAAAGTAAAAAGTCAGTCATACCGCGTGACACGTCAGAGTCAAAGTAGTCAAATCTTGAAGATTGTTAGATTCTGGCTCTGGTCTGGTCGTCTCTCCCACCCCCACGTGTCACCTTATTTAATTTTCATATGTTTCAGAGTCAGCACGGGGACATATTGTCAGCTGGGGAGTCGGGTCAGTCTGCTCGGATCTGGTCTGCTTCATCCCTGATTCCCTTCAGGAGGATTTAACCCGGGTTACCGCCTGAGCCGACGAATCGGTCTCGCTTCCAGCTAATTAACGTCACGTGGATGTCACGTGATCGTCATCCCCCCTTCCGTTAACACCTCTTTGTTGACTCATCACTCGCTCACCGCAAACATCATTGTCCTTTTTCTTCATCTCGCGTCGATGAGTTTGAGTTGTCATTTTTCTTCTCAGTATAAGAAATTTTGAATTATTGTTGGAGTTCCATGGTAAACTTTTAGAGTGATATTGAAACTAATATTTTACATTGTATTTTGTAATCTGTATTAAAATACAGAGATTAATTATTTTTATGAAAAGAAAATAATAGTAATTGTATCATGTAACGTAAGATGACTTATCGACTAATACAGGTAATGTGTTATTTTTGTTTATTTAAAGTTTTCATAGTTTTATTATCTATGTGTCGTATATGAGAGAGTTTGTTGAACTAACATTTTGTTTGACGAAAAATTTACACAATACTCGTCTGATAGTCTCATAAAAATAGTCCATATACAAATTGTTAATTTTATTATTTTTAAATAATTCATAATATTCATAGCATGCAAAATGATAATTGATGGACTAGAAAGATTATAAATAAGTACTTTTTCTTTTTTAGCAACTAAAGATATATTTTGAACAAGAAATGAGATTGATTATTAGTAGTAAACTGCTTTATCCGGTCCTTATTATAAGATATTTTGATTTATATAAAATTTTTTGATAGAACACAATAAATTTAAATATATTAGATAAAATTTGTGACGAATCAAAATATTGAAGACATCATTCATTTTTAGAGAAGAAAGAAATAAAAAAGACAAAGAAAAGAATTTTGATTTTTTAGTATTCATCTGGAAGTGTCCCGCACTCCCAAGAAGAGCACGTGAGAGTTACGCAAAAGGGGAAGAACGGCATAAGCGTTGAAAGCGCAAAGAATGTTCGCCAAAGTAGAGCGTGTGGTCGGCGCAACTAACGGATTCAATCATCGTCGTCAGCACACCCGTCAAACTTCAACACCCCCGGCTGGTCTCTCTCCGTTATCGTTAAATCTCACGGTCATATCTCTTTCCTCCTCAGCTCACATTCGGTCCTTCCTATATATAAAAGATCTTCCCATCTTTCTTCAATTATTCTTTCCGATCTTCTTCACTAAAAAAAAAAAGATCAAACACCTTAACCGAAATCCACAACTTCAATTGTCAAAGTTTTGCATAGCTGAATTAGCTCAAGCTCGGGGTAAACGTTCCAGAAGTTGAATAAAGAAAAGGGGAAAAACAAATTGAGCCCATTTCTTGAAATTTCAGGTACTACATGTGTTCACTTATGGTTAATTTTTGTTAATTGTTGTCAGAATCGTTCTTTAATTCATTTTCTGAGGTGGGTTGTTACTGAAACATGGTGGATTTTTTTTTTTTCTTTTCTCTTGTTTAATTGAATTGATTTGATGGTGAAGTTTTGTCTGCTTGTTGAAATTTGAAGCTTTGAAGAAAAAAGAGTAAAAGGGAAGAGATTAGAGCTGAGATTCAAAATGTTTGATTTCCTTTTTCCTCTTTCATTATATTACTTTAATTGATACTGTCTACCAGACAATTGAGAAGACTTTGTTTGTTATTTGTCGAGGAGTTGAATTGAGCTTCGTTGAATATTTGCCTTTTCTTTTTGTTAAGCTGAAGTCAAAAGGAAAAAAAAAGGGGTTTACTTTGAACATCTTCTTGGATTTTCTTGGTTGTTTCACTGTATTTAACTGTGATTTATAGACTAGTTGTTCTGGAGCAACCTTATCTTGTAGATGGAAGTTGGGGGTGATAGCTGAGAGCTTAGTTTATTTTCTTACCCCTTCTGCTGCTCACTTGGTATAGCTCCATTATCTTAGAATTTGTGATTGAAAGTGTTCTTAGAGTCTTCGCATAGCTGAAGCTTTTAAAGTCCACCCCCCCACCCACAACAACCTTTCTGTGATTTCCTCTCCAAAAAGGAAAAAGAGGAAGCACAAAAAGATTCATTGGGAACTATGATGGCTCTTCCATCTACCTAGTTTGTTGTTCGTGGTTGTTTGTACCCGTATGTTTGATATTCGTCTATAGTTCACTACTTTAATCGTGCCTAATTTTGCCTCCTTGATTGGGATAGAATTTGTAGCTCATAGTTTGAAAATATTGCGTAACCATAATCCTATGTCTGACTTCATAGTCAAGTTGCTGATGTATGAAGTTCTGGATTTCTAGAAGTCATATTGATTTAATCTGGGGTACTGAAGTTATGACTAGCGTTTGATAGTCTCCCAGGCTTCCTACTTGCCAAATCAAGTTGGAAGCTTGGCGTTTCTAACATCACTTCATATCATTCTTATTGGTAGAGAGCCAGAAAATATGTTGTTCTTATTGCTACTTGTTGGTAGAGAGCCAGGAAATATGTTGTTCTTATTCCAACACATGTACCTGCACGGCTCCCTGTGTTACTTTGATTTTAAAATAAACTTATTTTTCTTTTTGTATACTGTGCAGGTATTTCTTGCTGTAAATTACTGGTGCACATCTACGATACTTGCCTCTGAGAAGGAACCAGGAGTAGTTTTGGCCAAGATTATGTTATGGTTAGAGTAGTTGGTTCATATAACAGCTGATGCCATTTATCTATTATGGATTCCCACCAATTTTATGGATATAGTGTAGCTGGTGCAGACTTGCAGTACTCTTCTTTCTCCAGTATTCCTTCAGTGCCGAATAGGGTTGTTGGGTCCGTCAAATTTGATTCAAGAAACTCACCGAATTCACCGTTCTGGAATCATTTTGATTCTGAGACTCCTACCCCATTAAGTGACAATCAAGAACAACACAGTTCAACAGAAAATCTCTCCCAAGCCAGCCCTTCTTGTAATTCTTCTCTGAATTACAGTAGTTACAATCAACTGTTGAGCTCATCCCCAGAATCTAGTCAAGAAAAGACACTGATTTCTTCTGGTGGATCTACAACATTCCAGGGCACAAGTCATGGTCAGAACGTAAAGTTTACTTTGCAGCAACTGGAGACTGCTCTCATGGCACCAGAAGAAGAAGAAGTCACCACACCAAATCCCTCTTTGGGGGAAAACATGCAGCCACAGACATCAGGTCAAAGGTCGAGGGCCTGGAACCAGGAAACCCAGAGTTCGCAGCCACTTCAGTCTCAGCCTTCTCTTGTTACTCAAGTGGGGAAATTGGCTGGGAATGTTCACTTGGACAAGCGTCACAGAGCGATTGAAGATTTTTCCTTGAAAGGTATCCCTCCGATGAATCTTAAACAGTTACTGGTGGAATGTGCTAGAGCACTTCATAATAATGAACTAGAAATTTTCGACAAATTGGTTGAAAAAGCAAGTGGTGCAGTTAGTATAACTGGTGAGCCAATTCAGCGTCTTGGTGCTTACATGGTCGAAGGTTTAAGAGCCAAAAAAGAGGCATCGGGCACCAACATTTATCGGACTCTGAGATGCAAGGAACCACAAGGTAGGGACTTGCTTTCCTACATGCATATTCTATATGAAATATGTCCTTACCTTAAATTTGGGTATATGGCTGCCAATGGTGCCATTGCGGAAGCATGTAGAAATGAAGATCGAATCCATATTGTCGACTTCCAGATAGCACAGGGTACACAGTGGATGACTCTGCTACAAGCACTAGCTGCAAGGCCCAGTGGTGCTCCTCATGTGCGTATCACTGGAATTGATGACCCAGTTTCTAGACATGCACGCGGAGAAGGATTGGTTGCAGTAGGGAAACGGTTGGCAGACATTTCTGAGAAATTCAACATCACAGTTGAGTTCCATCCAGTGCCAGTTTTTGCACCTGCTGTGACAAAGGAACTGCTGGATCTAAGGCCTGGCGAGGCTCTAGCTGTTAACTTTCCCCTGCAGCTCCATCATACCCCTGATGAGAGTGTTGATGTGACCAATCCAAGAGATGGGCTCCTGAGAATGGTGAGATCACTCTGTCCCAAGGTGGTCACCTTGGTGGAACAAGAATCGAACACGAACACAGCCCCATTTCTCCCCAGGTTTGTGGAAACTCTCGACTACTATTCGGCAATGTTCGAGTCTATAGACGTGACAATGCCAAGGGAGAGGAAGGAGCGAATCAATGTGGAGATGCATTGCTTGGCCAGAGACTTGGTGAACATCATAGCATGTGAAGGAAAAGATCGAGTGGAACGCCACGAGCTGTTTGGCAAGTGGAAATCCAGGTTCACGATGGCTGGATTCCGACAATATCCTCTGAGTTCTTACGTTAATTCTGTGATAAAAGGGTTATTGAGGTGTTACTCAGAGCATTATACTCTGATAGAGAGAGATGGTGCAATGTTGCTGGGATGGAAAGACAGGAATCTGATTTCGGCATCTGCTTGGCACTGATTGTCATCACTATATGGATTGGGAAGGTCAAGGCAAAGAAGGGTCTAGTTGAGATAGGAACTCTACTTAGTTTGTTTCAGCTTTCAGGCATAAATGTTATCTAATTCATATCACTCAAAAGTTGTTATAAAGTGTGATATACATGTGTTCATTTTAGATTTGATTTGCTCTGTTATCCTCCCCACCAACAAAAGAAAATTATGCGTACAAGACCAAAGAAAAGTGATGACACTGTCTCCAAGTGAACAAACTTCTCTATTAATATATGTTGAAACCTTTAACGACGTAAGTTGAATATTATTCCTTACAACTACATCAGAAGCTAACTCAGAATCGACCGGGCGGAAAAGGTTCAACTAAAATAACAAGCGAGCTCCATAACAACCAACAAGGTCTGGCAGAGAATGAAGGACGCTGCTCCTTGGATCGAGCTAGTCAATCCCGACAACTTTAAGATGTTGAAGAGGAAAGCTAACGCCTCTCTTAAATTCCCTACGCTTTCTAACAATGCTGGAGTTCCATCGCAACTAGGAGAAAAACATAAAAAAAATCTTGAGTGAAGGTGCCGAACAAAGTACAAATTGATCTAACACATTAACCATAAAAAACACTTGCGCAGGATTTTGTCAACTTTCTTTGCAAATGCAGACTGAAGCCATTGATCCATGTGGTTTAAGCAAGGTACATCCGACTCGAATCGAATCCTGAACACATCCAAAACTGTGGATTTGTGTGATTCTAGGACCTTGCCCACGAACTTAACATAAGACTCTATTTGCGACTAATTTTCCTAAATAATAAATCGAAGCCTAAAAATCTTCCCAAAGCTTCAAAAAGCGAGCAATTGAGCTCTATTCTTCAACAGGGACAAGGAGGTCAAGCGGGAGGGAAAGAATAAGATTTCTATTATCTCCACAGTCCTTGAATGAAAACACATGGTGAAGCCATTCATTGATATGGTTTTTGTGGGATTTGTTCCATTTGAAGCAGATTCTCAACACATCTCTAAATTTACTAATTTGTTCTGTGTATTCCAGGATCTTGCTCACCCAGTAACATTAATAATTAACTCCCGAGGCCTTTCTCTTCTAGTTTTGGTTGAAACTTGAAAAAATCACCACCAAATAAGTCATGGGAAAAATTGAGACCTTTCTCGTTCGAAATCTGAAATCGATTTCTTCGCCATCGAACCTCCCTAATCAGCAATTACACAACCCCTAATTCTTCTTTCTCTCAGTCAAGCCAAGCAAATAGTTAAAGCTTTATTTGAGCAGGAAATTTGGACGTATCATTACTGTACATTAACGAATAAGCAATCCAAACTAATTAGATTCATACATAGTACTTATAATGATGTCTGGTGTAGCCTTCATGCCTATGATAATCAAACATAAGAACTCTCACTTGTTTTCATCATTTCAGTCGGTTCTTTCTGGATGATCTTATGCCATTCTTATCCATCTTATGTTATAATTGACCTATATCATGAGTTATGACCTTAGAGCGGAAGCCAAAGAAAAACACAAGAAGGAGTTTTATTTGTTCCACAAGATTAAAAAGTTATAATTAAAGACGTGTTAAATCTAAGAAGAAACGATAAATTTCCCCAATAGATAGTATACATCAACATAGAATTAGCAAAGTGTAGATCTAATTTGTGGTTAATTTGGGTCTAATCATAGCTTCTTCCTTTTTTTCTACAATACGTAAAGTCACGATTTAAGGTTGTCCAATTAAAAAGACATTTTAAGTGAAACTTAGGACAAAATCAAAATGCCTTATAATATATACTAATATCATTCTGGTTAATTATACGAATTGTTGCTGCAAATTCTATGAGCCAAACAGACTTTTCCTAATAGCTGAAAACCTAAAACTGACAAAATTCTGTTATCTTGTTTGTTGCTGATGTTGATACCCACACATCATCCTCCACCAAATCTCATTGGAAGCAAAAATATCATTATTGGCAAGTACTATAAATATTATCAGGATTAACTTGGATTTTGGAATGTATAAAATAATTGTTGAAAAAAAATTTATATCTCGAGACACCTATCCATTTCGAGAAGAGATTGATGTAAACGTAGTATGTGCCCACTCTCCTCTTAGAATTGTCTTCTTGAGGTATTAATAGTGTCCCAAATCTTACAAAATCAAAGTAATTTCCACTTATGACCTGAAGAATGATGGATGGATATCTTGTGCATGCACTACAAGAAAAAGGTACAAAAATGACATTTTATTGTGCCTTTATAAATCTTCTATAATGACATTAAACTTTTAGAGGCATTGCTTCAATGTGTGGTATATATCCATATCACAATAGTTTTAATAAACTATTAAGACACTTATAAGTGTCATGAAAGGTAACTTTATTTTATTTTTAATCACCCTTTTACTGCCCAACTGGTGTAAGGATATCTTTTAACATTTTACTGCTTATGAAAGATAAAATAGCAGTAAAAAAAAACCACTAAAAACTTCAATAACAAAGAAATTCAATAATTCTCATTCAATAATATGCGATTGTTAGTACATATGACAAATAGATTTGACTTTCAATGCTCGACATAAACTTGTGTGAATCATTACAATACTACACTAAGTTCGTTCAGGACTTTCACAATACATTTTGACCTTTTGCTACCTCCCTCGATTAGGACGAAGAGAAAACCTAAATGTGTTGAACAGGCACAATGGCCACCTAAATTGTCTGCCTGGAGGCTAAGTTGCTGGAATGTTCCAATAGTAGATGAGAAGGCTCAAATACCCGTGCAGGATGAACAAGTTTCACTTTGCGATTCTATAGATCCCCCATGAGACAGAGAAGAAGAAGTCACCCATGGTTTAGGAGAATGCTGAGTTGCTTGATGCAGCTTAGGAAAGGGTGGAACAGGGCATAAGATCCGCGTAAATGATGACTAAATACCACATATATATGAACATTTGCACGTCAAACATAATCAGTTAATGAACTATGCACTAAATTTCATAGTACGTGATTAGTTTGATGATAAAAAAAATTGAAGAAAGCCTCCTTTAATGGCCTTTTTCAACGGAGGAATGCATCTAGAGAACCATCACAATTCATTTATCAAAAAGAAAAAATTAGAAGCAAAGAGGATAAAGTGTACTGGAATAATAAAAGGAACGTCACCTATTCAATCAGAATGGGATACCATCAAGCAACAAGTCTGCAGCAACTGAATCCCCCATCAAGTTCCTCAAATCAAAACAACCATATTATTCCCAAAAAAGTATAGACGTACATGTGGCTATCCCTATCTTGTTGTTAGCCATACCAAAAAGAATACATCAGAATTTAAAATCATATAAAACAAAAGAGGATAACATATATAAAGTTCATTGCATCAAAAAACAATACCTTAAATCAAACAATACACCTCTAAATTTAGGAAGATAAAAGCCACTTTACATCGTACAACAAGACACCTCCAGTGCTGGAATCTACAACTTTGCAAACTTGACAATGCAAGGGAACGCTGGACATCATCAACTTGATGTTTTTCTTTATGTGAGATCAATATGCGAGCATCTCAAGTTTAGTCGCCAAATTTTCAAATTTATATTCAAATTCTCGATGATTATTCAAAAAATATTGCATACCCGTTACCAGTACAAATTTATTGGTGTGATCAATCACTGGAGATCCAATTGCACTTCTCTGATATTGATTAGATACAGCCTCAATATTACCCTCCTAAAAAAAATGTTAGGTGAGAAAAAAGATTAGATGTAACACCACAAATACACTTGTCCAATAATGAATATAGATAGCACTTAAATGCAATTTTTTTGGCATAATTGTGAATGGCGGATCCGGAGGGGTTCACCTGAAAGTAATGGATATATCCATTGCTTTGTTAAATAGCACTATGTATTAACCTAACTCCCAACGTTTCGGATCATTTCCAATTGGTCATTCAGTTCTCCTTAACATGCAAGACAAAAGAGTTTCAATAGTTTCCAGCAAATGAAAAGACCACTTAATCAAAATTCAACCTTGTTAACATCATATAGGAAAAGTTTCTTTTCAAAGCAGTAATGATTAACCACTTGAAGCTAACAAGACAAGCATACTTTTCCAGTCCAGATTCGAAACAAGAACAAAAAGAACGTAACTTTTCGGGAAAAAAAATCCACTAAATTTCATCCAAACCACAGTTGATATAATGTAAAATAGAGTGGATTGTTGATTGTTCTACATGTTTCCGATACTTCTAGCCGAGAAGAAATTGACAGTTTAAGGATTGCAGACATCAAAATTTACTAGTTCTGAATATTACTAGTTCTCCACATGCCAACAATAATAACCAATACCCAAGTACATCAGAAGTTCAAGAAATGAATCCAAATCCAAACCTGATGCAAGGAAATTGTTGGTGAGGCAGAAGCGCAAAGCAGGCTTTTGCTCCTGCAAAGTGACACTTAAAAGTGGCAGTAACCTACAAAAATATAATAAAAAAAATATATAGATTATGAATGAGGTGTTGGTTCAGTAGTAAAATCACCCTTACTCTCAAGAGGAGGTCATGAGTTCAAATCCCCATTCCAACAAATGGCCGCCAAAACAATATAAAATTAGTGAGTGGGGGAATGACTCTAACCTTGCCTACTTATTAATATATATATATATATATATATATATATATATTCCAAATACACCTAAAATAAATTCCTACAACCACCATAAGCACAAGAACGAATAATAAACATTCAAAAACCTTACCAAAATTTTCAACAAGATGATATTATTGGTTATTCCTTCGTAATGGTCATCTATTGAATCAATCGGCCCCAAACGTTTGATTGATTCATGGAAATGCACCGAAGAGCCCTAATCCATCGACCCGAATTAAATCGCAAATTCATAGATCTCAATGAAGCAATAAACTTTGATTAAGCCTTACTCAGAATTCACCGAAGGATGGGGATATGATGAATTTTGAGTTACTAGTTTCGTGATTCCTCCAAATCCCTGAGTTATCAACGTGAGTGGGAAAACTGCTTTCTCTCCCGAATCGTTTGGTATTAATCAACCGGAGTGTTCTGTGGTAAATGTAAAGTGGAAAAGTAATTTAAATAAAGTGATGAGTGTTTTTGACAAGCACAACTAGTCAAATAAATTTACCTACTTAACACTAGTATAGCGGAAAATAAGATCGTACTAACAGAGAAGAAATACTAATTACCAGATATAAATTACTCCTATTATTATCTAGATAAATGATGATATCAGATTTATAAAATTTAAAACTAAAATAAATAAATAAAATAAAAGTAAATAATATTAATTCAAATAATCAGACAAAGAAAACCTAGGACATTGGATTCACCTACCGAATATTTGATTTGATTCAATTTATAAATATCTGACTTTTAACTTCCATTAATCTCACAACGATTCACCTAATTAAGAACTATTCACCGTCGTGATATAATTTTCTTACTGTAATTAATCCTATGACTACTGTCGTGACTATAGGAAATAACTAGAGCACATTAAGAACTTAAGAATCTAACGTTGCAAAGGTTGTGTTCCTACTGTCGTGGTTCACTACCTAAGTCCAATATTCCCATGAACTAATATTAATTTTCAACAGTCGTTCCATCAATTAATATCTTTAAACATGCAAGTAGTGGCCATTTACAAACATGGAATAAAAGCAAGAATATTAAATATTGATCAATAGAAAAATCAAAGTATCATGAATCAAATAAACCAAATAAATCCGGTGGCTACACCCAAGCTCTAGATTAAAAGAATTTAGCCACTAAACATTATCAAAAATAATTCAATAATATTTAGAGACATAATCCAAAAATAAAATCTAAATTAAATAATTAAAACAAAAACACCCGAATGAAGGTAGAATCGCCGAAGAGCTCCCCGACTGTGCTAGCTTTGCTCTTTCTCCCCGGCGGTTTACACTTGCGGCTGCTGCTTGGTGTTTTTTTTCTCCTCCTCGGCTATTGGAAACTTAAGGTCTGGTGGTGATGAAGCTTTTGATGGTGCGTGGGCAGGAAGGTGGTGAGTTCGATGATGGGATGGTGATGATGGCTTCGGTGATGGAGAGTTGATGATGATGAGCAAGCTGGTGCTTAGTTGCTGCGGTGGTGAGGCAGAGGTGGTGCTTGGTTGCTGCGGTGGTTTGCTGTGGCAAGGAGGAGAAGTGGTAGTTGCAGCGGCGGTCGTAGGGTTTCGGGAATTTTCGGTCAAGTTTAGTGATAAAAATAAATTTGTAATCCTCCTTTTATAGGTTTCTGTCAAAACCCTACTTCTTGGAAATGAAGAAAACTTGTTTCCCAAATAATATTGGAATTAAAATTTTTACCCAATTCTAATCCCAAATCAACCGCACCATCATCGTTGTTCAGCCAATTTTCCATAAACAAAAATTCTAAAATTGCTTGTTTAATCCTCAAATTTTTCAAGTACTTCAATTTCTTCCTTATCAATTTATCAAATCTTTAATTCTCCCCTTTAAATTGCTTTTATCTTCATTTCAGCCACAATTTCAACAATTCCTCTTTTTGAGTACAATTCCTACAAATAAAGATAAAATCATATAAATAGCATATTTGTACTCAAAATATATTGCAAAAATCACAAATTAGGGATATAATAAATAGGTAAAATATAAGCATATCAGTTTTACTTTTACTACTTGTGTTTTTTATTTTTTATTTTAATTTTTAATCTTTGTTCTACGCGGCATGTTAGTTTTGTGTTCCTCTTTATAAATGCCTTCTTAGATGTGTCATTAAAAGTTTAATCCATTATAAAAAACATCAAAATACCTTATTTGATAATCCATTATGACAATTTATTAATAATACCTTAATATCCTTTTCTATTATGACATTTTCTTAATAATGCCTTAATATCTTTGTCATTGTACGTATGTGTGTTTTCTTGTAGTGATGATTTTTGTGGAAATGATCCAAAGATATTGTGGAGCCACCATAATATGTAAAATCATTATCGGATCAATTATTTTAATACAAACTCAAGCTGGTAAGTTTTCTCTTGTTGTGTATCATGTGGAGTATAAATCTTGTGTATCAGGGAGTATTTCTTTCATATTTTTCTTTTTATTTCATGTATCCATTTGTTTCATAGCGAAAAATTCATTACGCCGTATAAAAAATTATTATGCAGTTTTATTAAAAAGTTGTTCTCATCTTATTAAAAAATAATCCAATTTCATAAAAAATAAAATTAATTTTTGAATCATCGATTCCAAGAAAGAGTTAATTGTGTATGTTTCATTTGAATGTTACTATCATATGCGGGAATCACATTATCTTTAGCCACTAGAACGCAATTGTCCGACATCAATCAATTACTGAACTCAGCAAATCATGCTGAATCTTTATAGGTTCTGTTTCATTTTCAATGTTGCTTATTCAGGATACTAAACTTTATCAACAAAGGAACGAAATCACATGAATTTTACTATGGGACTAGGATTAATTTATGTAGTTTCAGTGTTCTTCCAATAATGATACTCATTTTTCCAAAAAAAAAAAGGCATCGAACGCCTAGTTGATTTCACTATATATATAGAGTATTATCTTGGGAACTCCTATACACATAGCCTAATTGCAGTTTGCAAAACTTTTGTCCTAACTGAAGTCTCTAAACTTTCCTTCCCTAATTAATATGGAAGCTTACATTGAGATTCAAGCACCAGCTTGCGCTGTTTCAGTAGAAAATATTGACCAACCTAAACGCAGGTCAGCCAACTATCATCCAACCATCTGGGGAGACTTCTTTCTTTCTTATGGTTCCAATGTCAAGGTGCGTGACAAAATATATCTGTTTTGGTTCTTTTTTAGTAGGTTCTTTTAGAATTTTTTATTAATATATATTTCATCCCAACATTTTTTTAAAAACATTTTTAATACTTTTTTTTAACATTTTTATTTAAAAAACACCTAAAAACACACACTGAAAAAACGATCTAAACATTAATTTATCAACCCATCCATCAGAGATAAATATAACTCCATCCGGCTAGCCAAAAACCAAAAAAAAATCATGTTTAGTTTGTTGCATTTTTCAAATTTAATGAATACGAGTTTATTTTTAAGACACAAGAGAGTAGTATATTGATCATCAAGATATCGAATTTTTGATATTTTTGCATAAACTCTTTTATCTGTGCAGGAGAATAATTCTTCAAAAGAAGCAAAAGAACACCAACGTCTAAAAGAAGAAGTGAGGAAAATGATTCTTGGAACCCCTAACGAATCTTGGAAGAAACTTGACCTGATTGACACTATCCAACGTCTTGGGGTTTCTTACCAATTTGAAACTGAAATTGGGGCTGCTTTAGGACTAATTTACAAGGATTACGATCATCATGACTCTGAATATGATGAGAAGTTCAAGCAGGAAAACGGAAATGAACTCCATACAACTGCTCTTCGATTTAGGTTGCTCAGACAACATGGTTATGATGTTTCTTCCGGTAAGAGAATAAAAAGGAAACTATCTAATTCATCCATGTAGCTTTCAAGAATTAATTTCATTTTTTAATGTAATTCATACGTTTTACAAATTGAATTTTTGACCTACTGTGTTAATAATGTAGACGTGTTCAAGAAATTCAAGGACCCGGAAGGTAATTTCAAAGAATCTTTGTCCACCAATACTCGAGGCTTGTTAAGTTTGTACGAGGCAGCAAATTACAGGATTCACGGAGAGGAAATTTTGGAAGAGGCACTAAATTATAGTACTTCTCAACTTGAAAAAATGTTGCCAAGCCTTGATAATTTACTGGCTTCACAAGTTAAACAAGCTCTGGACGTGCCAATTCAAAAGGCTTTGACTAGGATGCGAACCAGACAATTCATTTCATTGTACCAAGAAGATAAGTCACATGATCCATCTTTGCTGAACTTTGCGAAGTATGACTTCAAAATCCTACAGAAGCTGCATCAAGAGGAAGTTAGTGGCATAACAAAGTAAGTACTCTTGCTGAAATGTACATATGATCCGAGGAACTCGCAAAATTTTGAGAAATACTGTTCTCTAGTATCGGAAAAATAATTTATTTTGTTGAACTGAAACAATACAACATTGAACTCTTTGATACAAACTAATTTTTTTTTTTCCACAGATGGTGGAAAGGCTTAGATTGTCCCAAGAACATACCATTTGCAAGAGATAGAGTGGTGGAATGCTTCTTATGGATAATTGGAGTGTATTTTGAGCCTAAATATAGTGTGGCCCGAACAAGAATGACCAAAGTGATTGCGCTGGCTTCCATATTAGATGACCTCTATGATGTTTATGGGACCGTTGATGAACTCATCCTTTTTACTGATTCATTAGATCGGTATGGTGTACTTTGAGTTAAAACTGTTTTTTTTTTTACTTTTATTCTTTATTAAGTCCAGTACTAATTAATTAACAAGAGAAATAATTAAGAAGAAAGAATGATGCAACTAGTTACTTGTATTACCAACTAAACTAAAACTTTAATTAAGCCTGGAATATTCCGCTACGGGCGTTTCCTTTTGTAAACGGAGTTTTACTTGGTTATGAGCCATCGTTTTAACTCTTTGAAAGGTTCTTATTTTATGAGATGATGGCATTAATATTTCTCTCTGCAAGTAATATTCTTGATAGATATATATAGGATGGGAAAAGCGTGGTAATTTATTTAAATGTTCATGACAGATGGCATATTAGTGAATTGGACGGTTTGCCAGAATACATGAGACCTTGTTATCAAGGCCTCTTGGATGTTTGTTCTGAAATTGAGACAGGATCGTCCAAGAAAGGCAAGAAGAACCCAGCGAACTATGCAATATCATCGGTATTTAATAAACTCTTTCTCGGACTATTTTAATGATTTATTTCAATATTCAACGAGGTTTTGATTTATCGAGCCAGATTAATTCGGTACAAAATCACGAAATTTTTTTTAATCTCTTCAGTTAAAAACTTTAGCTAGAGCTTACCTAGAAGAGGCAAAATGGGTTAACAGCAAGTATGTGCCCGAATTCGACGAGTACATGGAGCTTGCGCTAGTCACTTGTACACATCAAATGTTGGCCACAAATGCATTGGCTTGCATGGGAGACATCGTGAGTGAAGACGCCCTCGACTGGGTCTCCAGGAACCCATTAATCCTAAAAGCCTCCTCAATGATTTGCAGGTTAATGGATGACATTGTTTCTTATGAGGTACGTAAAATTTGAACTATAATAATAATATATAATTTGATTCAGAGGGATTTTTTTTTTCTCTTCCTTATCTTGAAGATTGATATAACCCCCCAATTAGGTCATGATCGTATAATGAAAATCATCAATTCATATACAAATCAAATAAATAATTCGTATACGTCACGAGATTTAGTATTTTATTTTATTTGCTAATTAAAATATAAGCATCGTCATGATGATGATGTTGCAGGCGGAGAAAGAGAGAGGAGAGTTAGCCTCAGCTATTGAATGTTACATGATCCAATATGGTGTTTCGAGGGAAGAAGCCATTGCTGAGCTTGAGAAGCGAATTACAAATGCATGGAAGGATACAAACAGAGAATTGCTAATTGGTGAAGCCCCAGAAATACCAATGTTGGTGTTAGAGCGAGTGTTGAATCTTTCAAAAGTGATTCACCTTTTGTACAGGCATGAAGATGGGTACACAAATGCTTTCACTGTTGCCAAGGACATGATCACACAGCTCTTGGTTGATCCTGTTGATGTATGATAAATCAAATCAACCCAATCAAATGAAGATTACATAATGTTTATTTTAGATCATATATATAATGTGCATATACATCCTCAGGCTGTACGAAAATGCATGCATGCTATTTGTTTATTTGGCTCTGGACTGCCATTTAATTTTATTTGGTTGTATTTTTCTTCACTTACGTGCAAAATATAGGCAAGATTTTACGAGACATTAGTTAAATATATTTTATACCTGGCTTTTTAATTAAATCATAATATATTTGAAGATAAACTAAGCAAGAAATCTATAGCTCCGTAATTTATCGTGTTTGGTTGTTTTCATCCATTTACAATATTTAGTTTATCATGTATTAAAATGATTTTTTTTTTAAAAAAATAGAATACTTAACACTTAACACTGAAGTCTGAAGTCTGAATACTGAATTTACATTGTTTGATAAAAACATATGAATTTGATGTCTGAAGCCTGAAGTCTGAAGTCTGAATACTGAAACTGAATACTCAGGTCTGGAAGTTATTTAAATTTTAATATCATTAAAACTAAATTATAAACAAAATTATTTTAAATAAAAAAATAACTAATATTTTGTTCTAAATAATAAAATAAGAATTTTAAAATAAGCTTTGGTATATATAATGAAAGTAGATATTGCACTTGTTAAATAATTAATATATAATTAAATTTAGTTTATTTACATATATAGATATATAAGTACTGTGTTATTTAGCAAATTGTATGTATTAAAATTAGTTTAATTTGAGTTTGAAAGTTTGAGATTTTTTATACTCATAATATAAATTCAAAGCACTCTCAATTAATTTATCTTAAGAAAATAAAAATTTTAAAACAATGTAAAAATAAGCGTCAAAATAAAGACGAGGGAGAAAAGGAAAAAAAATGAGTCATTACAAAAATTAAGTGTTAAGTGATAAGTGATAAGTGGTAGGCCTATCACTTATTTTCTGGCTCACAATTGAACTGAACATTCAGATGCACTTAATTAATTCAGACAGTGAAATTTTAGTTATCAAACGCACTTAATGTATAAGTACTTAATTAGTTCAGACCTTAATTCATTAAGACTTTTTAGTTACGATTATCAAACACACTTAATTTCATTAAGTACTTAAATAAATTAAGCTACTATATTAAGTGATTATCAAAGCCTAAGTTCACTTCTAACATGCCTCCAATAAAATTGAAAATTCTTGTATGTAATTTTACCTTGCTCATCAATCAAGTGTCTTAAGCGATTACATATGATATAAATGTAATTCCTCTATCACAGAAGATAATCCACATAGTGTTTTGCTAATTAAACGGTTGTTAATATAATTAGTAATTCAAAATATATATATATATATTTTTTAAGGACAAAAAGAATATAAAAACATACATTAAAAAAACGAAATAAACATACAGTATAAGCTTTCTCCTTTTTCATAGACAAGTAAAAGCTAAGATGTAATAACGTTTTTTTTTTTTATTTGTACAATATTCATAAACTTTTTGGGTCCTTACATGAGAATATGTATGTTTATTAGGTAAACTTTGACTTTATACAAAGAAGTCCATTCACACACACCCAAAAAGTCGCTTTTTGGTTAAATTAAATTACAAGCTAAAAAAAAAAAGGTTTAAAAAGTAAAATATATGTTTTGGAAAAAAAAAAAAAGAAAGAGAGTTTTTTAACGCCAAATATTTATTTCGCACTTCTGAAAAAAAAAACCGTTCAGCTGTTTCGACATACAAAATTTTGGGATACAACAACAATAACAACTTAGTATATTCTCAACTCGGTTGGAGTCTTGGGGTCCAAGATGTACGCAGCTTTACCCCTGTATATCAATATAGAGAGGCTATTTAAATAGTACGACTCAAAATACATTGGTGCATTGGTGTATTGATTTTCGAAAACTTCACCAAATTAAGAAGCGTCGGAATTTAGATGGGCCATTTTGATCTAATCCATTATTAGCACAAAGTTGAAAGAATTGTCAATGATGACTCTTCCAACTCCATTTGCAATGGATAAAATAAAAAATTTTGGGATAAGTTTTTTTCAAATTAGAAATTAAAATTTGATATAATTTAAATTCTGATTAGTAAAGGTTACAGTCACCAAATTATCCGTAGTAGCACTGGCAAATTTCAAACTGGATTAAAGCTGAAATTCCGTGTTCGAACCCCGATTATGGAATTTTTTTATTATTATTTGTTGTACAAAAAAATTCTCCGAAATTTTTCCGCCAATATTCAGTGTACGCACCCATAAAACTTAAAGTTAAATTCATCAATTCTCACTTTTTTTTAAAAAAAAAAATATACATTTCGAACACCTAGACTATTAGAATAATTCTCCTGTCTAACACTCCTTTTGTCTCAGAAAAAATTCACATTTTAATAAAATTAGTTGTGTGAATTATTTTTCTCCCCTCAAACTTATAATTGATAAATCTATCGATTCTCTTATCTAATACTATCCCGTTTTACGAAATCAGTCCACGTTATAAATCATAATTTGCACAATCAATTCTCGTACCCAGGCTGTCAAGCTTCTCCGAGGTTGTTCAGATTTAGATCCAGATCGACAAAACTGCTGATGAAATCTGGCGACTCCAGATCTGACTCTGCTGCCAGTCGGGTCTCTCTCTGCTGGCCTCTGCTGTTGTTCCCGGCTGCCTCTGTTGCCGATCGTCGTCCGATCACCGCTAGTTCATAATGTGCTACCAGTTTCCTTTGCTGCCGTTTGTTTTGCTTCTTTTTTTTTAATATTTTTTGTTTTTATTTCTGTATTTTAATTCAACTAGTCTTTTGGTGTCGCGCGTTGCGCGACCAGTCTAATTTAACATTTGTTTATTTCTTTGGACTTAGTGTATAATAAAGTGTAATGATGGGTTGGTGTCTTATGAATATTGAGTTATTATATGCACCTCCTTTTTAAGGAATTAATAAGAGTATACAAAGAAGAGTAACCGAAGAAGAGTAGTGTTTTCAAAAAAACAAAAAAAAGAAGAGTAGTGATTTTGAAGTCTGAGACATAGTGACATGATTCCAAGCAAAAAGATTCTTGATATCCACGAGAAATGTAACCGAAGATGGCATTGATAAACTTAACCAGAGAAAGAGTGATGTACTCACGAAATTTAAAGTTTCAGGAGCAATTCATTAAGGAAATCGAAATGCCAATTCGATATTTTTTATCACGATATCTCAAACCATGTCAATCAAATTGCCACTAACATCCCAGCTTTAAAACTCTACTTTTCACTAAAAGAAACTTGAATAATTATTGATCAGAAATGAGCCCTTCAATAAGGTTGAATCATACATACAAAAATTAAAAGATACTCTCTTTCACAAAGACGTGCTTCAATGATGATGCACCAGAACCAGAATACAGCTGATACAACAGGGGATATGCTTTTTTCCCTCAACCAGGACATTGATACAACTGCTTAAAGCAAGTAGTTACATGTTTCTGTTGGCACCTTCAAGGGATCTAAGTGTCCTCTGATCAGTAGCTAGAGCTCTTTCAGAACCAGCAAGATCAATAAGTGAAAGTTTTCTAACTCGTTGAACAACCATGTTGGAGGCATCTTTCACTCTATATTCGACCAGAACCAGAATATAGCATAAAAGAAATGGAACGATCAAGTCACTCTGAAGTTTCTCCACTTCTTCCAAGTGCCTGACTTTCTTTTCTTTTTTTTCCTTAAGGTCTTTAGTGTACTCTTAATGTTTTGGGTTAAGCGTGTTACCTCCTTCTTCAACTTAAGCATATCTGGTTGCTGAGCATGGAGAAATGATGATGGTGAATACACTCTTAGGTCTTAACTCTACCATTGAATCAAATAGCAATCACAACACTCTTAGGTCTTAACGTTCTCGTATATAAAATCTTTGCTTTAACGGCACATTTTAAAATCTCTATAATTTATACACACTTAGGAAATTTTTTCAGCCAGTACAAATGCTCAAACATCACGAAATAGTATCAAATAAAAAAGAGAACATGCAGAAAGGACGAGACACATCAGTTAATAAAGTATAAGAATCACACTTGAGCATAAGCAACAGTAAAGATCAGATACTACTATTGAAGAGCTAAAAATGAAGAAAATCAATACCTGAATGTCTGGAAGAGTTTTCTGAATATTACCAATTGCTCTTGCAAGTGAAAATGTTTCTCAGCTTCCTCTTTATGTTCCTTTTTTTGCTTCACTTCCAGTTTTATTGTCTTCTTCTTCTTCTTCTTCCAGCTTTATTTCGTGTGGTTCTGGTGTTCGGTTCTAATTTCCTTAATGAAATAATGACATTACCTGATACACGATAAAAATGTGGTTACCATGAGATTTCTTTTGAAGCAATAACCAAGTAAATCCCTTGCTTAGTTGAAGGGTATAGACAAAATTACCTCATCTGTGGTGTATGCTCTATATTGAGTGAGACCAGCAGCCGCTATACCAAAGGAAAAAAACAAAAATAAAGAGGGGAAAACATGACAAATTGCATCAATAGCAATGGCACTGAGCAAGGAAACTAATTTGTCTGCGTAGAAAACCAGTAGAAATCAAATCATCAACATGCAACGATGGTAAAAGAAGAAATCAACAAAAATTCCCAGGTTGGGTACTTTAAAGGACAATACAGAAATACATAAGCCAAAAATTTGAGCTACCCAAGTTACAAATTATAGAAGTAAAATCATCAGAATATAATGTTCCCAATGAGATCATATACATTCGCAAGAAATCATAGAGAGAGAGAGAGAGGAAGAGAACCAATACCAATGTTAATAGCCCATTGACGAGGTCGGCGGCGGAATTTGAGTATCACTTGAACCTATTCGTATTCAAACTTGTAGAGACCTGAGATCAAATTGAAATCATTGGCAATGAAGAGAAAGCTGAGGAAACTCACTACGCCATTTCCACCCCCTCACAAGTGCACGCTGATCTCAACATTTTCACAGCAAGAGCACAATGTTTGTTGAAGCTACTCATGTCTTTCTACTCTAGCCCAAGTCCACTGAAGTAATGCTTTTGAAATTCTACTATATCTTCATTCCAGACCAACCGTTGAACCCCGGTTTTTCCAGCATTATAGACTTACATACAGGAAAAAAGAAAAACACTCATCAACAGGGGCTGAATACACCCACTGTCCCACTTTGTTGAACAAAATCAGAACAACAAAGTGAGCTATTAAAAAAATTGGACGTAAGAGAGAGATGAAACCATAATGGACCAACAGACCTATCTTCCAAGTATATATAAACGTGTAACAATGGATGTGGCCAGAGGGTATCACAAACTTACCACTGACATGTCCGGAAGTTTCATGTGCATGATATGCAACAACACAAAGAGATCTTTTGGCATACTCCTTAGCTTTATCCTCAGACATACACTTGATATCATCAGAGGGATCTATCCTATAGATAAACCCGGGGAGAAAAAGAAAAGTTAATGAAAAAAGTAGAGTAAAATCAAGCGCAATCTTAATGCAGTGTCTTATGCATGCATCAATAAGTCCTTAATATTAAAGCAAGGAAGGTGATAACCATGTTTATGCGAAGTAAAATAGGGAGAAGACATACGCGACATCAAATGAAAAACAGGCAGTTGCAGCACATCCTGTTCCAGCCACTGAGCCTCCAAGCCGTTTCCCCTTACCGTTCACTTTATACAGGGCAGGTCCCTACACAAAAACCATGATCAATTCAATAAGAGTCATAGGGAAAAACAAGCAAAGGAAAACATTCTAAATGTTACCGATTTTTTGTGCCACCCAGCGATCAGCACTCAAAGCGAGGAACTGTCATTGCTATCAGGTTTAAGAGACAGAAACTCAGCCAGCCACTTAGATGCTTCTTCAGCAGAAACTTTCTTCCACTCCTTGGATTCACATTCGTGGCACTAAAACACGTCCCACATGAATTACAAGGGAAAAAAACATGTCTCACATGAGATTTTCAATGCAGACTCATAGAGAATAAAGGCGTCTGAACAACAAAAGCAATTTTCAGCGGTTGCAGCAATTTTCTAACCCTATCACCGCAGAGGATTGAAAATTTATTAACTAAATATCTGTTAATTAAGAAATTACTAAACAATTACGAGATCTTAAGCTGCTTTTATAGTATTTTATTACGAAAACATTGCAATCATCTCTTCCAAGGAGCTTCATGGGAATCAATCTTTGAGCAACTTATCAAATTAGCATTCTTATCTAGACTTTCAAACTATCGGTTACCAAATTAAGCAACCTCACATAAAAAAGAACAAAAAAAATAAAAACAAAATTGAGCTGCAGAAAATCAACGGAATAACTAACATCACAAAAAGGTTTGATGAAACTTTTGGTGTAAACAAAAGGAACTAACTTTCTTGATTCCAACAAGTTTAACTTATCTTTAGGATGAAAACATGGGTGAATAATCCCATTCATGTCCAAATACAAATTGTCAAACTCCATGGCCTCGTGACATCCACAAGCATGACGACACCGTTCCCGTACTTTCTCGGCTCTTCTTTCACCACATCGACGATCGCTAACGGGTATCGATCCACCAGCCAGATGTTGAATGCCGGAACACCCATTGATCAATTTATCATATCAAAAATCAATTGATCAAAAAGCCTTCATAGTAATAGCAAATTGTCATAATTTAAATACCTCAAGAAAATAGAACCATATCTAAGTAAGAATCGGCGGCGGCAGAATTGGAGAATCGGTTGGGCATAGCGGCCGGTAGTGGGTGGAGGGAGTTTCCTTTGGGTTTAGAGGAATTGGTTGGGAAATAAGCGAGCGGCGACAAATGGTGTAAATCGCAAATCAATGTAGGAAAAATCTGGAAATTGAATCCTTCGATTGCAATCTGTAGGCTTGCCGACTCAGCAATTAGTTGCAATCCATTGAATTCTTGGTATCCTTCCAAGCTTTGCAGGCCAAAGACGCTGCTTGCAAATCCGACTACTTCCAAAAAGTGGTGGTGGTCTAAGAGGCTGCTTCATGTGCTCACTTAATTTTGGAGATCAGAGGCCCCGATCAGATCAACTCGGGGCGCTATACTCTCTCTCTGGTCGCGTCACAACAATACCGATTATGTTCGTAGCTGCTCTCAAACAACAATACCGATTGATAATGGTCGGGGATTAAGAGCAAGAGAATCGTAAAATTAGAAATCGGCAATTGATGATGATTGCGGAGGTAAAGGAGACGATATGAATCTTAGATATCTTCTAGAAGATTGATCAGAGGCGAGGGTGACATCGATTGGAGAGAAAGAGAAGAAGACAACGTCGGTAGAGCGTTTTGAAAATTTAGGGAACAAAACAAAACGTAATACAATATTTATATTTTTTTCGAAGGGGGAAAAAAAAATCAAAACGAAGTCGAAAATTCGAATTTTGTAGTATTATTATTTATCAGTAGAAACCCATTTATGAAAAGGAATTATCGCCGGTCGGGAATAGAAGAGCTGTCCAGCCATCGTTCATATTTATAGGTTGGGGGAAGGAGGAACGACGTCGTTTTCTTGGCCTCGGGATTTTTCCCTAAAACCTGTGCTATTTTTTAACCGAGAGGGAAAAAAGAATAAAATTAGAAACAAAATACGGATTTTGTATTATTTATTAGAAGGAAACAAATTATGAATTATCGATTTTATCCCTAATAAGTCGCTGACGTCATATCAACCTCATCCGACAGACGAGATCGATTCGACGGTGGTCCTCGAATATTTCTTGGGTATTATTTCTTGCATACTGCACCTTTTATTTAAGTATAAGGATTAAGTGGGATAACCCCCACTCAGTATAGATCCCGGATTGATTCTTCACTGAGCGAATTTAGTACGCCAACAAAATCTGGTCTGTTGGTCGAGTCCGAGTTTAGTGTATGCTGTTCGTCAATGACGACTAAATTGATCTTGAATTAGTTGGTCAGTGCCATCTTCGAGTTCAGAATTTTATTCTGTTCCGTAGTATGTCCAACAGTAAAATTATGCCATTGTGAGAATTTTCTCCTTGGTAGTTGTAATAGTCTAGTTACTGGTGCAGTGATTAGTACTGTAAGTACGTCATATAGACGGTTCAGTAAGTACACCATTATGGGCGGTCTCGTTGTATTAATTGGTGCTGGACCATTTCCAGTAATATGAATAAAGTTGGTTTTTCTCTCAAAAAATGTTCCTAGTCCTCTGCATTGTAAAATATACAATCAATTCTCTTATCCAATACTCTCCATATCCCATAAAAATATAGTTCATATTGTAAATTATAAATTACATCGTCCTACAAAAAAATAATTTACATTGTAAATTTTAAATTGAGATTTATGATTTATAATGTGAAAATTTTATTAGACATACAGTATTATATTTGCCGAGTGACAAAACCGACTGCTATGGAACCGCGGCCATGTCTACCCAAAGGTTATCATAAGATTTTTGGTCACGAGTCACAATTTTTTTTTTCTAAATCTTGTTTATTGTATACTTACTTATACTAGCTGTTTTTTATTTCTTGTATTCAAGTTCTGACTTCAAACTAATATTTTGTTCGCGTCATGCATGGAATGTGATCGGTTGAATATGGATCCTCGAGTTTATTCTATTGAGTTGCGCGAGATATAATTGAGATTAAAATGTTATTAAGATTTTTGTTTTCAATTAGAAAAGAAAATGAAATTGTTAAAAAATAAAATAAAATAAGTACTCCCTTTGATCCTTAATATAAGGTATTTTGATTTGTTATAAGTTTTTCCTAGTATGCATTTTCTATAAAAAAAAATTTTAAAATATATTTTCACATTCGTTGTGTTATCTTGATTCTTAAGAAATATTTTTAAGATTTTTTTGTTGTAATTAAAAATGAGAACTAAGTGTGATAGAAGAGAAATCAAAATACGTTATATTAAGAACTATGTTATAATAAAGAACAATATTACTTGAATTTCTTCCTTACCAGCTATAACACTAGTTAGTAGTTACCAATTATTAAATAAAAGTACTCTTTCTGGCTCTTATTATAAGTCATTTTGACTTTTCCTAAATTTCATATAATATATATTTTTAATTAATGAAAAAATCTTAATTGTATTTTCTTGATTGTTATGAAATATTTTTTTAGTTTTTTTCGTTAATTAAAAATGAGTATTAGATTAAACATAGGACAAATCAAAATGCCTTGTGTTAAAGGACAGGAGTAGTATGTAACATCTCTCGCAAATCAACTAGACTAATCTGACTATCCGAGCAAAGAAGCCGAATTGTTAGGAGGTAGAGATCTTGGGCTGGGTGAACGGTACTATAGCAATATTGTCCAATCTAAAATCTATCTGATCCGTCATCATCCGGCAAACATCTCAAAGATTTTGTGTTTAACACCCTTTTGAAGCATATGGATCGAGTGCTTAAAGATGCAAGAATTTCAGGTTCTCTCAACCTATCCAACCGCTCTCTTAGGTCAGCTTCCTCTTCTCCCCTGAAATTGTTATTTTTTTCCTTCCGGCATTTTCACATATTTTAGCTGTTCTCCCATTCTGTAATTTGAACCATTTTTGCTGTTTGTTTTTATCGATTTCAGCGAGTATTCATTTGCTGCATCATATTTCAGTATCCGTAATCGTAAGATTTTTGTTGTGAATTGTTTACTCGAATCTACAATGCCAATGTAGCTCTGGGAATCAATCATCTTACCTTAATTTGAAATTAGAAGCTCAGTTGAGTGAAGGGAATGCGGACGCTGATTTGTGGCAAGCGCTTTTTGATAAATTGCGATAATTATTCGGATCTCGACAGGTTAAATTGTTATTACTAACATTAATTGGGATCAAACTGCTCACTAGAGCTTTTGGATAATACAATGTGCATACATCAGTCCAAGATTTTTTCAAGATTTTGTGAAACTGTATTCTTTTTGTTTATTAGCCTCTGGATGGCCACTTTTTTAATTTGGTTGAATCTCAGCTGCGGCAAGAAATTGCTGACATGCAATAAAGCATTAAAGCTTGTGATCTCATTGGTTTGTCTAGTTACTGCCATTGATTATTACGTCTTTGTCGAAAATTCAACTTTATTGGATCAAGCTGAAAATTTTGAACTGACAGGTTACTGATACCTGCCTTTGTAATTTGTAACGGTCCTGACGAGGTGTTACTTTTTAGCTTTATCTAAAAATAATTTTTAATATGGCAGGGAGGTTCCGGACGCGGTATATAAGAGCTTGGATGCCATTGGCGCGGGCGAGAATTGGTGGGAGGTATTTCCGTCAAAAATTTGTTTTATATATGTATTTCAATTTTTCTCGGCATTGAGATGTTCTAAAAGACAGTTTCCTGTATGTGCATTTGTAGGCTGTTGAGCTACAGAAGCTGATTCTAGCTCATAATGACATTGAAGTGTTGAAAGAAGAGCTTAGAAATTTGCCTCTGCTCTCTGTTCTGAATGTCAGTCACAATAAGCTTTCTAGTCTTCCAGCAGCTATTGGAGAGTATGTAATTAGATCCCCTTTTAGATTTAGGCTTCTTCAGATTTGGTTCATCTGCTACATTTTAGGGAGACTACACTACTGTTTATCATCTGCCCTTTGTTTCCAGGCTGCATGCATTGAAATCATTAGATGTGTCATTTAACTTGCTTGAAAACATTCCTGAAGAAATTGGATCAGCTGCTGCTCTGGTCAAGTGGGTACCTTTTGATGTTTTTATTGTATACTGCCATTTATAATGTGACACTGAGCTACTTCTGTATTCCTTCCTATAGCGGATATTTGTTTGATTTTCTGCTGTGGCAAATATTTAGATTTTCATGTTTGTGGTCAGATTTGATTGTTCTAGTAACAAGTTGAAAGATCTTCCACGTTCCCTTGGACTTTGTGTGGACTTGGCCGAAGTCAAGGTAATGTCTTGCAGGATATATCATCTTCTTCTTATCTACCAATAAATCTTGACCCAATTGATCTCCCTGTTACTAATGTTATGTTAAAGCAAGGAAAGATCATGCTGTGATTGCATTTCTCAGATCTGGGTCTTTAAATTTGTCTCAGGCATCAAACAATTGCATTTCCTGCTTGCCAGAAGAGTTAGGAAACTGCACCAAACTAATGAAACTGGATGTGGAGGTAGTCAAAGTTGATATCCTATTGTTAAAAATTAAAATTTTCCACAGTCGCTACCTTTTGGTCATTTAGTGCTCAAAATGCAGTTTCTAAGTTCTCAAGTTTCAACATGTTACGATGTGTTTCTGTCAGGGCAATAAGCTGACAATGTTACCAAAGACGATGATTGCATCTTGTACAATGCTTACGGAGATCAACGCATGTAAGTGTCTTCTATGAGTGTAGTGTTGATTGGAATCTCAATAAAAGGCAACAGGTCTATTTACTAAAACACTTTTGCAATTTCGCAGCAAAAAATATGCTGAATGGCGTACCCGACGATATAGGAAGTCTATCACGCTTGATTCGCCTTGACCTCCATCAGAACAGTAAGTAATAAAAGGACTCCAAAGTGCATCAGAACTGTATATGGTTTCTCAGGATTCTGTTCACTCTTATAAAGGATTGTTTTGCATTCAATTAAGTACCGGTCAGGTAACCCTTATTCTCATACTGAATGAAAATCATTTTCTGCCATGACTTATACAGGAATTTCATCAATCCCATCGTCAATAAATGGCTGCTCATCACTAATGGAGTTCTACATGGGGTAATTTTCTTGTATGAGTTACCGTTTTTCGATTGACTGGACTATTACTTGTTTAACAGAGGAGCTTTGTTCACTTTGTAGGAACAATCTACTGTCTTCTCTACCACCTGAGATAGGAGCTCTTACAAAACTGGGAACATTTGATCTGCACTCAAATAAGGTGGCGAGCGTAGTTGATATTTCTTTAAAGCTGAGATGTTTTCTTAGCAATATTCACTTTTCCCTGCAAAAAGAAAAACCTTTGCTTGTATTCTAACTATCCCCTTCCGTTCTAACTGGTATGCAGCTGAAGGAGTTCCCAGTGGAGGCATGTAAACTGCGGCTTTCTGTTCTTGATCTATCAAATAATTCATTGTCTGGTTTGCCTCCTGAGATTGGTAAGGTTAGCTATATTAAATTGACGTGTCTCCTGCTTTATTGTGCCTGTTTTTGAGAAGGACTTCATTCATTTAGTAGGAAACATGCTATTATTGGCTATTCATTCACTGTTTATAGATTTTTGCATCTTCATGTTATGTGTTTTTTCATTTTTGAATTTCAACTGGCTTCAAAAGCAGATACTGGCACATTAGCACCATTAATTTTATTTTTATACTTTTATGGATCATTTTGATGGACGTACCACTTGCTCTAGGAATATCTTGGTCCTTGTATCTTTGTTGTAGTCAAATAGTGCAAACTTGTTTGCTTCTTGTTAGTTTTGGACTTTCTTGCCTGACTTTTCCTACAGAAAGAGCATGTGATCTCCTTTTAGTGCATCTAGCTTCCTGTGAGTTCATGTTACAGCAGACTTGTTATGTTGATCTGTGCGTGTGATCTTACTCAAGCTAATGATTGGTTTGTTTTCTGTGCTATTCCAATTTTTGGAATGTCAAACCTAGGTTTGATGTCTACTCTGCGGAAACTTTTGCTAAATGGTAACCCGTTGCGAACTCTTCGAAGGTCTGACTTGTACTTCCTTCTATCTTTTAGCTTGAAGTTGTCTTTGTTGCTAGAGTATGAAGCTATTCTTTATGCTTCTTCAGCTCATTGGTAACTGGACCTACACCAGCACTACTGAAGTGTCTTCGAAGCAGACTTCCATCTGATGAAGGTATTCTGATATTAATAATTTTCTTGGAATTATGATATTATCATTTCGATCTTTTCACTTATGACCAGATTTTGATGAAGTGCCTAAGATTCTCAAGTTCACTAAAATGAGAATGAGGATTATGTAATTTTGACATTTGAGTTGTATCTTTTGGCTTATGAACATGAACGCAGAGTCCACTTCTTCTTCAACAGCAAAAGTAGACTTGGTCTCCTCAGCGGCTCGACTGTCTGTTTCTTCAAAGGTACCAGCCTATCATGATATTGTTTCCCTTCATTCGTCATTTAAACTTTTCAGCTGCAGTTGAGTAATCTCTTAAGTCAAAATGTTAAGCGATTGGCTTAGTACTATGCATGAAGGGCACTGCTATGTGTAACTAATAATTTCGCCCTACCTTATGGTTGAAAAGATGAAGATGTCAAATATGAAAAATGTAAAGCACAACCCTTTGAAATACGTGGAACATTTCATGTTTGGAATCTTAGTCATGTTTGAGATGTTAATGGTGGATATCTATTCGACATTCTGCTGCAAGGCAAATCCGTTCAGTATAGCTTTCAACACTCTGCATTTAAAATTAGCTTATATGGATAATAAGTCTTAATGCCACAAAAATATATATATGACATTTTGTCCGACTCCTGATGTTTATACCTATCTCTCAGGAGCTTTCTTTGGAAGGAATGGGTTTAACTGTCGTCCCATCAGAAGCATGGAAATCTAGTGAGATCACCAAACTTGATCTATCAAAGAATGCTATTGAAGTACTGCCAGTAGAAATTTCTTCTTGTATTTCCCTCGAGGTAAGGATTATGACGTCAGAAGTTTTTGCAGTCGCGAAGTTACTTGAACTTGGAGAGGTTCTTTGATAGGTTTCTCTCAAGTTCAATGAGCACTTGTATCAATAAAGCTGTTTTTCCATTTACTGTGTAACCCACTTGCAGGCTTTGATTTTATCCAAAAACAAAATGAAAGAGTGGCCTAGTCCCATCTTAAAGTCTCTTCCGAAACTCTCATGCTTAAAGCTAGACAACAATTCTCTTGGACAGGTAACAATTTTCTTGAATAACAAAATTCTTGTGTGGCCTAATCCACTACTTCGGTAGTATCAGACTTACTGTATCCTCGGATACATCATTAATGTCTTCCTTTTTTGTGCATAGATTGCATCAAATGCCTTTAGCAGTACCCCAAAACTCCAGATACTGGATTTAAGTGGCAATGCCCGTTGTTTGCCCGCACATCCGGAATTCTCCAGCTTACCAGAGTTGCAAGAACTCTACCTAAGGTCTGTAAATATCAAGATTAGGTGTGGGTATCATCATTCATGATCCTTGTCCAAAGCTCCCGTTTCAATCCCCCTCATATTTTAATCTTGTTTGAACAGAAGGATGCAAATATCAGACTTCCCAGGTGATATATTGAGCTTGACGCAGTTAAAGATTCTTGATTTGAGTCAAAATGCTCTTCAATTAATCCCTCAGGTGATTTTCACTTCATAAAGCTGCTTGCTCTTTGCTCTTTGCTGCTTTGCTATTTCATTGAATCAGTCCTCCACTGCACTTTGATAAGGATGGCGGTGCGTCAAAATTTTGTGAAGTCATGCTTGTCATAGATTCATAAATAATACTGCATTTGGAAAATCGTTGTGTAGTTAATAGTGATAGGCATTGATGTTTGCCATGCTACGACATGTAAATGGATTTTCTGCTATATATATCTACAGGTTGAGCTGCACTTGGATTCATATGTATGCTTGGCAGTGGTTCTGGAATCTGGACCCTATTTCTAATCCTTGTTTCCATGTATGAACTTTTTCTTCCAGGGAATAAAAGATATGACTAGTCTTAATGAGCTTGATTTGTCCAATAATAACATTTCTGCACTCCCGCCTGAACTGGTGAGTCTTTTCGCATCTGCAAATTAACTTTCTGAAATTAAACCCTAGAAACATTTCCTGGACAGCTTGGAAGATCATTATCTCCTCCAGATCATACTCCAATTCTTGCTAGAAACTCATATTTATAGCTGGCAATTTGTAATTCTTCCCTCCAAAATGAACTACTAACTGGTATCCGTCCTGCAGGGCTTGCTGGAACCCAACCTACAGGTGCTGAAAATTGATGGAAACCCTCTGCGAAGGTATATGAATCTGCTGCTGCTTTGTCCGCATGCAGACCTGGAATTTAAATATGTGTGCCATTTTTGTATTACTCATCGATCTGCCAACACTAATCTTCTGGTTTTTCAGCATCCGGAGGACAATTTTGGATCGCGGAACCAAAGCTATTCTGAAGTACTTGAAGGAAAGAGTTGTCATGGATTAGCTTCTTGCAGCTTTGCAAATGTACATGTAAAGTGGATTAAGTGGGTAAGACTATGTTTTGTAACAGGAAGACCCAAGTGTGTAATGACATTTGCTCTTTCGCTTTGCGTTGATTTGTAAAAGATGTATTAGATAGTTTGATCTTATTTTAGGGAAGTGAGGAACCATCGTTCACCCTTGCCAAAACAAGGGGAAGAGAACTAAGGGTATGTTTGTTTCGTTCTTTCAGTGTGTGTTTTTAAGTATTTTTTGTATTGAAAATGTAAAAAGATGTATTAGAAATATAAAAAGGTATGTTGGAATGAGACAGTTATTAATTATTTATATCCTTCATTAGGATATTAGAAATATATAGAGGATAAAAGCATATTCTCATCCGAAGCTCTATTTTTCTGAAGCTGTGCCATGTCTTGTAAGTCTATTCGCTTTTCTCAAGTTTAGAACCTGATAATCTTCCATTAATCATTTTACTTGTTACAATTGCATGACTCGGGTTGAGGAACCAGGGCCATTTCGCTACAGTTTGGAAGAAACAGATCATCAAAAAACCGATCTAATGCATCATCGAGAAGCAACCAATGCTCCGACAATTTGAACAAGCTACCAATATAATTCACTCCACTTGCTCATTTGCATTGTTTGTTTGCTTGTCTGTAGAAGCCGCGCCTTCTGCTTCTTCCATCAACCTGAACCTCAGAATCTTATGCAGGCTAGTTATTGGCTTTACCTGCTTAACAGGGGCCTGCTTACTGTCTACTATACATGCTCCAGAGAAAAGATTGGCTTCAGATGGGCCTGTTTCTTCATGGACTACAAGGGCAGCATCTGCCAAACAAAAAAAAAAAGAAACAAATTAGTACTCTACTACTCTGCAATGCATAGTCATTTTTGGTTAACAAAACAAGCATCTTAGACAGTGCGGACATATTTTTTTTGTTCCCCCGCTTTATCCAATTGTCCAGATATTGCAAAACAAAAGGCACTAGAAAATACTGAACCAAAGTTAAGAAGTTAGCCCAATTTGGTGGTATGAGAGCAAGGGACCTGAAGGTTTTTCAGAAGACATCTTAAACCACTCGGAAGTTTTATCTTCTTATCAAAATGAAGGCATGTTCTTTAGTCAAATGATGTTATACTTTGAAATGCTAACTAATTTCTTAAAGAGAATCCCATCAACAGAAGACAAAATCGATGAAGATATCCAGGAGACGATTCAAAGATGTGACTATGGTTGGAGACTGAAGCAAACCAGGGTACACCAGCAACTAACATGCTTACAGCAGGGTTGCAACTGATCAAAGCAAATTTATGGCAAATTCCTCACTTCTAATTCAAGTCTACAATAGTGATGAACGAATTCAAAACATGATGTACCCTTCTAAAAGTACATAACAATCATCAAATCAAGAATGAATATAGCTTACCACTTTCACTAAAGACAAGGCAAGTGCCCACAGTTTCATCATACTCACCAACCTGCATCATTCAGTCAATAACTTCAGTAAAACAAAGGATCCATTAACCACCAAGAGTTAACACTGAATGAATCACGAGTCTAAATACAAGCTCTACAGCACCAAAATGGATATGCACAAACATCGGCATCCCAACTCCAAGTGCATCTATATATCAACATAACAAGAGTATATATGCACAAACATGCAGATTCCCTCCAAAGCGATCATGTCCAAGCTCATTAGTTAGGACAGACATATGATTGATAATGTTGTCTTGATGCACGACTTTTTAACAGATTTTCATAAAGACTCTGAAAACTCCACAAGAACCCATAAGAAACAGATCTCATTACGGTTTACGACATATTAAGTTTGAGTTTCCTTATGCAGCCGCTAATTGACATTTTGGCAGCACCAGCTTTCCTATAATCTAACAGTTCTCTAGGTCAGCAAATAAGATGGTTGAAACTTGCCAACCATCAATTTAAATATATTCAACTATAGTAAGCTTTCTGCTACTAAAGATAGATACTTTGGGAGAGATTAAGTTCAAAACTCAGCAGAAGATCAATGTACTAATCCAGCTCATAAACGTAGACTCACCAGTTTGATTTTCCCGTCAATGGTCAATATTGGATTTAGAGTGTCCAGACCCTGCATAAGTCAACCAGTTAGGTGTCAGACATCTTAGAAGCGAAGACCAAAAAAAAAAAAAAAGAGAAAGAAAACAAAGCAATGCAATCCCATTTTTCACCACAAGCTAATATTGATAAAGACTGGATGGAAGCTAAACAGCGGTCTCCTGAGCATGTTTAACCAAGCGAGGAAAGAACCATAAACGGTACCAAAACCTGATTATCCTATGTTAATATTAAGTTGTAGTTTTTGGAAAATTTCACCTTTTCCCCTTCAGATAATGACAGCAATAAGAGAAAGAAAGAACCAATTTTAGCAAAACCAACCATTACCATTATTCCAGCAAGCAACTTGGAGAGACCTAAAATAACAAAACGTAAGGAGATGAAAGAATAGTTACAGAGAGAACGTAGGGAGCATTGGAAGGGATGTGAACTTGGCCCATCACACCATCCAAATCAATCAAAACATACTCCTCTTTTTCCTCTTGATGCTCTTCAGACAATGTTGTACCTTCTCCCTCCATTAGAACTAAATTCATTGAACAAAACATATTAGGAAGAACAAAAATAAAAATCCCACGTTCAAAATCTTGCTCAAAATCAAAATCCAGTTACTTTACAGCATAGTGATACACCCCACTTGAAAAAAAGAACCCACAGAAATTAGAATCGATTCAGTCACCTGCTTAAGAAGTTAGCTGTTTATCGCAAATCAAATACAGTAAGAAGATTAAGAGACTCGGAAGACTGGAAGGGTTTTAAACTTTTAATCAATCCAAAGCAGCTGATTACAGATATGAATTCCGGGGAGCTCCGAGCTGGTGGAGGACCGATGGAGAGAGGCTGAGATTGGGAGCGCCTTCTCAAAATTTCCACGCTTTCCGTCACGAAAATGTGAAGTGGAATTTACACATAATAGATCGGTGGGCCTTTATTTGGGCTTCAGAACTCAGAAGTCTGCTGATAATTGGAGAGAGAACAAAAAATTACATCCTGTTCCCGTCTATCAAAAGGGAAAAAAAAAAAAAAAAAAAATGGATATTTTAATCCCAAAGTTTGGGCTACACCATCCAACACATCCCAAAGTTTAAGAACATGTCATTTACATCATAAACTTTTTAAAAACATGTTACATTAGGATATTCGTTAAATTTTTAACTCCAATTAATTAATTAGTGGTGATACTTTATTCTGTTTCTCTTCCCCTAATTCTTTTAATCATTTAACACGTTTCACTAGCTCCCATCTTATAAGAAAATAGCTAAACCTAATTTGGTCTTTACATCATCCATTCTTCCCTTGCTTAGAAAAAGAAAAAAAAAAATTCAAGATCACCTTCTAGATTGATAACAATCATGAGAGGTTTTGTGTGTGTCCTAATTAGAAATAAGCCACATTTCATTTTTTTTTTAAATATGTAGCATCCTTATAAAAATTGGTGTTGTAATTGATATAGGGGCATGCAGCTTTTTTGCTTGGCATGGACCAAATTTACCAAACGCAAGTATGAAACTTTTTTACTAAAAAAAAATGTGAGAAAGAAACTGAATGAAATATCACCGTTAATAACTTGAAAAAATTAACAAATATCCTAATATTACATATTTTTGAAAAGTTTGGGATGAAAATAGCATACTTTTAAACTTTAGGATGTTTTAGATGGTGTGGCTCAAACCTTGGAATGAAAAGGTCCATTCTCCCATCTCAAAACCAATTGGCAAAATGAGTGCAGTGGCCTTTGGCACTTATATACAGAGTTACTTCTTTTCACGGTGGCGATGTGGGACAGATTATGCATCTTAACACCCTCCCTCGAGTCCAATGGGTCTTTGAACTTTTTATCCAAAAGACTTGGATCAGGACAAGAATAGAATAGCCCACGAGTCAACTTCTCTTCACGGTGACTATGTGGGACAGATTATACACCGTAACACCCTTCCTCGACTTCAATGGGTCTTTGAACTTTTTACCCAATAAACTTGGATCAGAACAAGAACAGAATAGCCCACAAGTTAACGTTCAAGTGGGAGAAAGAAAGAAAGCCGCCAGTTATACCGCTGGATCGGTCCACAATAAGCCTACGAGTCAACATTCAAGTGCGAGAAAAGCCAGTTATACCACTGGATCGATTTAGAACAAGCCCACCAGTCAGCACTCAAATGTGTTAATATAAAATACCACATGTCACCTTCGGCCCAGAACTCCACGAATATATAAAAACACCATAGGCCACCTTCGGCCTATAACTCCACCACATGTCATCACGTTCTGATACCATGTCAAAGTATATGATTATTTTGAATTTCCATCTTAAAATCAATTAGCAATGAGTACAATAATCTTTGGCATTTATATACAGAGTCACTTCTCTTCACGGTGGCAATGTGGGACAGATTATACACATTAACACAAATAACAAAATTCATTATTGACTTTCTTTTTGTACATAAAAAGAACCGCCGTATGTTTTACCGATTTCTCAACAAACTGTAATATTAAAATTTAGTCAGATTTGTATTTCTTGCACTCTTCCAAGTTCCACCATCATTACGTAGTGATCTTTATTACTTAGCGGGAGATGTTTTCACTGGGAGAATTTAATTGTTTGGAGACTTCTTTAGTAAAATATAATACTTTATGCATTGAAAATGTAGAAAGATCTATAAAAACGTAAACAATTTATATTTAATAAATGGAGTATCTAAAACAAAGTAGAAAACACCTACACTAGGGTCTTGCAAACAAACCGTAAGTTTGGCCTATTAAGGAATTGATGACAGAGAGCGGAACTTGATTAGGGACCAAGATATGAGTTGTTCGGATTTTGACCATCCTCTTTGCTCACACGTTTCCTTCTCTGCAACTCTTCTTCTTCATTCTTATGCTGTCTAACCGTTGACCTAGAAATCGCTCCCAAAAATAAAAAAATAGAGTTCTTTCTTTTTTTTTAAAAAAAAAAAACTAAGAAAATGATTTAACTGGCTAAGAAGACGGTACTTGGTACCACCAAAGACCAACACAAGAAGGAGAATGGTTCTGTGACTCAGAATTTCACGATTTTGCTTATGTGTCAGCTGCATATCCCTCCACGTGTACAACATTCCTGTAAGAATGACGAATCCACCTCAAAGTCAGGAAGACAAAGACACAGCAAAACCAAGTAAAAAAAAAAAAGTGAGGAAGGAAGGAAAAAAAACCACACAGCTCAAAATCCACCAACAAGATAAAGTTGCAGAATGTAGACCACCAACAATGGCAAGATCATCAAACATACTAAAATATATTTGTCGTAGCCATTCAAAAACTTTGAATCTGAAATTTGAATAACCTAAGTTACAATAAATTATTAAGAAATTTTGCTTTTGGCTCTCTTCACTGTGTTAATTTCTCTTCAGCAAAGTATATAAATGACCCTACTTTTTCTTCTTTAAGCAAAGCTCAGAATTCATCAGCCCAAACCCTTTTCCATTTTGTCCTCAAGTTCTCAACTTTTCCTCCATTTTTCTTCTCATTTGGGTTACAGAGAAAAGTTGGATTACAATCAGCACCGAAAAAAGCTTTGCCGGTCACTTTCCACTCATTTCTCCCTTTTCTTTTCTTTTTTCTTTAAGAAAAAACAATTGTTTGTTTTATCATTTTTTTTTATTGTTTTCTTTTTTAGGCTATTTATTGACAAAATGATTCCACCATAGAGTTTTGGCACTATGCTTTTTCCTTCACCTACTTGTTCGTAATTCCTGGTTTTCTGATCTCAAAGTCCCCGCATTTGTATCTCTTCTGAGTTCGTCGCGTTTGGTTGTTTCAGTTTAAATAGCCAGCTGTTTCTCTTTTCTTCAGATCGAAAACTTCCTCAACCTGGGCTAATTCAAAGTTTTAGTCTTTGTCTGATTACTGAGCTCTGCTTTTTACCTTCTCATGATTAACTCCAATTCACTGCATAATTTCACATTGAAACCCTTAATTTCTTGCTCAATTTCATCTAATTTTCTCCACCCTGATAGTTTTTTCGTCAATTGCTTATATTGCTTTAGGTTCCGGCTAAAAATTTGACCTTTTCCATATTAAACCGCATCCTAATTACTCAGCTTGCTAGAGAAAGAAAGGGGATTTTTTGGTTTTTCGAAATTTCCTCTTTTTCCTTTTTGGTGAACGTAATTATCTATGAGAAAAGAAATGGGGGATCATTTTAGACCTGCTTCAATGGATGACTTGCCATGGCATTTGTTACTTGAGATATTGACATCAGGCCGATTGAGTGGGGAGGATTTAGTGTGTTTAGAGCTCACCTCAACAACTTTTAGAGGGAATCATGGGACTTTGCCTAAAGAATTCCGCTCCCTAGTTGATTTTGCAGCCTTTCAGCTTTGTGGGTTACACCCAATTTATGCTTCATTGCCTTTAATTGCCCAGAAACAGGTTTTTGAAAGGTGCAATGGTAATTGGAAGCGGCTCTGGTGGTTCTTACGGTCCGTGGAACAGTGTTCTGACGTGGTGGAAACTTCTGCTGGCAATGTACTATTTCTTGCAACTTATGTGATTTCATTTACTTATCAATAAATTTTGTTTGATAGTTTTGGTACTTCTAAGTTTAACTTGTTTGCGTTCATTCTTTGTATGAAGTTTCTGATTTTCTGATGCCCTTTTCTGTTTGAAAATAGTCCTTATTGCCTGAATTAAGAGAATGTTGTTAGTTTTATGAGAACAATGTTGATCAAATAATGATGCAGATAAGTATAAGGATAGTGTAGGATGATGCTTAGTTCTGGGAACAAAATTGACTAGCAATCGTGACTCGCCACAAAGTTTGGTGATAACCTAGCTATGAAGGGAAATAACAATGGAAAGTGGCAAAGCCCCTAGCCAATGTAAGCAGCACGATCAGGGAAATAACGTTTTTCCCTTAACAAGCCTTCTCCTTTTTGGTTTTAGTATAAGCTTCTATCACACTGAGAAGTATTCTCTGTCCCTTCTAAAATCACGTCTGGGCATACTTGTCCAGAATGAAATACTATAGCATTATGTTGAGATATGAAAGCTTTTTGTGTTTCTTTGTGATCTTACCATGTGCAAGACAAGTTAACTTTCCATCTGTTTCCAGTTTGAAGAAAGAATTGTGCAATTTTGGGGCATTAAAGAAGGAAGTTACAGAAGAGACCTGAGACTCTGAGAGGAGCTCAGTTGAGCACTTAGACTTCAGTTAGTCTCATTTGTTTCATTTTTTTCTTGAGAATTGTTTGTGACATTTGAGAAGGAAGCTAAAGCAGAAACCTCTCAGTTGAGCCTTTTAGGCTTTAGTTGGCCTTGATTGTCTCATTTGTTGAGAATTTAAGTTCTAGCTTTTTCAGTACTAAGGGAATCACTCACATCAAGGCTTCACTTTGTACCTGCAGATGCAGATAAGGAGCGGCAGATATCACACACTGCTGATAAATAATTCAGTTGTGTACTCCTGTGGTTCCAGTTTATGCGGTGTTCTCGGTCATGGTTCGGAAACAACACAATCTGTGGCTTTTACACCCATTAGTTTCCCAGTAGCCACACAAGTTGTCCAGGTGTCAGCCTCCCATAACCATGCTGCATTTGTAACTCAGTCCGGAGAGGTATTTCTTCTTTGGAGCTTGCGTTGTAACTTCTACATATGATATTTGTATTGAATTTGTCTCATGGCCTCAACTTGCAAATGCTGAGAGAATAACTAAATTACTCAGAGAGGAAAGTGGTTGCTTTAATTCCTTTGAATATCTTGCTAATATGCCCTCGTTGGCATACAAATATTTATCAGTGATAATATACAGCACTTTCCCTTAGGACTACTTTCAGAAGTTATAGTTACCGTGATTTCTCTCTTTCGCTTTCTGTCGTATCAAGTTAATGTTCAAAGTCATGTCTCTGCAGACAAATCCAGGGATTTTCATGAAAGCCATTTAAGTTGGTCTCCTTCCTTTCTTGTTGCTCTATCCTGAAGTCCAGCTTGAAATTGATTGTTGTTATATACATGTTAAATACAAAGTGTTTACAAGAGGCTATGGAGACTTTGTATTGGTGTCAAATAATCTCTCCTGAATTCCAATTTGTTAAAATTGTCAAGCAGATGCAGATCATTAAGTTATGTCAGTTACTACCAACATTGACATTGTATTGTTTGATGATTGGAAATTGGTTTGACCTAGTTTGAGGAAATATGACTCTTTATCTCTCCTTATTTTTATAGTGAACACATAACGATTACCGCAATGTTTTGGGCAACATATGTTATGGTTCACATGAGGTTGATAGGAATGTGCTTCTGTTTTATGATGTAGGTTTTTACATGTGGGGACAATTCATCCTTCTGTTGTGGCCACAAAGATACAAGCCGTCCCATTTTTAGGCCTCGCCTTGTTGAAGCGCTGAAGGGAATTCCTTGTAAACAGGTTAATCTATTTCCTTTTTAAAGTTGTGGCATCCTAGACTATTACAAAATTGGAACTTCTTCAAAAAACAGATTCACTCATTTTCTCATGTGAGGTGGTATCAGTCCACTGTAACCTTTCTCTTGTTAAAGATGAACAGGCAGAATGTCTTCCCACATGTTGTGATGAAACTATGTATACTTCTTCCTTGAGGATCTAGTTGACTCTAACAATAGTCTTTCAGGTTGCTGCAGGACTCAGTTTCACTGCTTTCCTTTCGAAAGAAGGACATGTGTACACATGCGGAACCAATGTACACGGTCAACTTGGACATGGTGACACCGTAGATAGGCCAACACCCAAACTAGTTGAAGGACTTGAACGTGCCAGTCACATTGTTCATATCTCTGCTGGTCCTGGTTATGCCTTGGCCATTGGCAATGATGGGACCCTATTCTCCTTTGGTTCCGGATCCAATTTCTGCCTTGGCCATGGAGAACAGCACAATGAGCTCCACCCACGTGCAGTTCAGTATTTTAAAAGGAAAGGAATTCATGTAATCCGTGTATCTGCTGGTGATGAGCACGTGGTCGCACTCGATTCCAATGGATATGTAAATACTTATCTACGATATAGAACAATGAAACTCATCTTCTTGTAAATTTCAGACTCAGTTTATATTAATTATCTTGTGGTTCTCATGCATGTTTTGTTATTTCAGGTCTATACATGGGGCAAAGGTTACTGTGGAGCACTGGGACATGGCGACGAAAGTGACAGGACTACTCCAGAATTTTTGAATAGCCTTCAGAGTCACCTTGCTGTACAGGTCTTTAATTCTGTCTACAAATATATTGCTTAATGCATTATGGGCCATATAAACTCGTCTAAATGATTGGGCTGGAAATAGAAATAAGGAAAAGTCACACAGCTATTTTCTTTTCCTTTTGTAAGTTACACACCTTATTTATCCAGATACAATCGTAAATCGCACAAACGGAGTTGTCATTTGAGGCAGTTAGCTGCATAAAATTGTAGGCAAATTTGATTTGATAAATTAGGCATTTTGCTCAGAAGATCAATCCAATAACTTATGCATTCATTGTTGCTTTATAGCAGTTCTCATAGCTTTGAATTTATACAGGTCTGTGCAAGCAAGAGGAAAACATTTGTGCTGGTGGATGATGGCTCGCTTTATGGATTCGGCTGGATGGCATTTGGTAGTTTGGGATTCCCAGATAGAGGAATGTCGTCTAAAATCATGAAGCCTAGAGTTCTGGACTGCTTGAAAGACGTCCACATAGCTCAAGTTAGCACTGGCCTGTACCACAGTGTTGTAGTTACAAGTGGAGGACAAATCTTCGGGTTTGGAGACAATGAAAGAGCTCAACTTGGGCATGATTCACTCAGAGGCTCGCTCGAACCAACAGAAATCTTCTTCATTCAAAAGAATCAGTAGATAATGCCAATGTTGTTGTGGGATATTGTATCTCCTTCCTAGTTTGTAAGGCTAGGTCTTTGTTTGAATTGTAATGTACAATATTTTTGCTTCATTTTTTTGGAGCAGCTGGTTTTAAAACATATGTATTTGCACAAAAAAATTTTCCAGACATCAAACGGGAGTGTGGCTGTTTTATTATTTCATAAAAAATTAAGTTAAGACCTCAAAATCTTAAATCTCGTTTGTTCGTTGTATTAGGGTCGGAAACTTGACCATTGTTCCGAGGAGCACATGAAGTGTTCTTACATGGTCAACAAAAATGCCTGAGTTTTGCTACTAACTTTCCAAATTAGATTTGTCTGTCCGAATCCGAACCATATCAGATCATTCAAATTATTCAGAATTATACCACATCAGTCGTTTAGGTGACTAGATCTTCCTTTCACAATTTGATTAAAATGGTATTCTGTCTATTCCAAAAAGATAACAGTATTCCTTATAACCAATAAATAGTGTACCCAATAACAAATAGCTTCCCTATATTCCGTTTCAAAAAAAGCTTCCCTATCTTCATTGACAAAGATCAAATCACAGAGATGGGGGGCAAGAAGATCAGTATGGGGGTGGTCTGGGAAAAAGAGACAACATGATGTGAGTGTAAATGAACCCTTATGGAGCAGCAAATCGGGCACTCCTTGCATCCATCATCGTCATCAATTAAACTCAAGGAGAAACTAACAAGCATGCAGAATTGATAATGTTTTCCACCTTGCATTGGACCCAATTAACAAGCAAACAGCTTTTTGGAGAATCTAATTATTTGTGTGATTAAAGTAAAACCCAAGCGCAAAATATGGACATGGTCACTTAGACACCCAACAAAACAATCATTTTGAGACGTGCAGAAATATTACTGTTTTATCATTAATTAATGGCGGAGGAATTCCGTGGAACAATAAAAACCTGTCCTTGCCATCACAAGTATTATTGTGACTTGTGATTATTGAGTGAGAGCTAAAGATGTTACATTTCGGACTATTCTTGTCTTTGCTTGAATGCTATTGATTTGACTGAGATGTTGGGAGAAAGCAAGTTAAAATTGGAGGTCAAAAAAAAAAAAAAAGACAGAGAGATAGAGTTGATTTTGATTTGATTAGATTTCATCAAGTAATTAACCCTTTTTTCTGGTGCGGTGATTAAAATATGAGCACTAATTGCACTTTTTATCTGTAGTTATAATCACATCCCATTTTTTATTATTATCTTAAAGTTTATCAACTCTTGAACTATTGCATTATAGACTTACGGTACCAAATAAGTAATAATCACGTCTCAACTTTAGTCTTAAGAAAATTATGCCCTTTTCTTAATTAAAAACGTTTAGTACAAAGTTAAAAAGATATTGTTATATGTCAAATACATTTGTTTATAAAAAAAAAAATGAATGACTTGTTTCATTATGATGTGACTTCCATGCATACTTATTGAAACATAGACTTAACAGCAGTAAAAATATAGGAAAATAGGAATATGATATGATTTTAGTATGTTGGTAGCTGGTAAAGGTTTAAATCAATTTTTTAGAAGTATATGATCGAATTCCATTTAAAGTGAAGTAAGAATTTGTGAATATGCCGATACTATTGTCTCTATTATTACATACAAACAAAACAAAAATGAAAACAAAGCAAAATGATGGTTTTATTGACAAGTACATATTGATATCTTGCTCATTGCTCCCATTTTTTCTTTTTCTTTTTTTTTCCTTTTTTTTTTTGTCTTGGAATTCCTGAACTTATTAAAGGGAGCTATCCGAACTTTTAACCTACCTGTGTTAGTACCTTCACCAGCAAAATAGGCAAATGCCAGATTAGAAAGGAGCTGGAAAACAACTTGATATGGGATGGCAATTGTTACCTAATTAAATGACCGATCCATAAATCATTTTTATACAAAATTTCATCTCCAATTAATTAGCAACAGCCTCATCAAATCAACTGCTACTTGATTTGATTTGCATCTTCCTAAGATCCCATAATCAGTCCATACATCATGTGATTTCCAGGATCATTTTTTGCGTGGATAGAATTAACAGAGATTCTGTCAATTAACATATGGAACGAGCTAATATTTGTCAGCTCCAACACCACACCACCTCAGGATCATGTCCAAACACTATGAATGCAGCTCATTTTTCCCCAAAAAAAACTGGAAGACAAAATGAATTACTAGTTTTGATTATTTTTTTTGTAATAACCCGTAAAGGGTTTTGTGGTCGTAATCAAGAACATACAAACTTTAATACCAGCTCTAAAATAATGTCGTTACTATTAACTAAAACAGTACAATAAATAAAATATACTGTATCACTTGTTTGGCGAAAAAGACAAAAAGAGTTCGTATAACCAATACTGATAACGCTTGATCTGGCTAGACAATCGGCACGTACGATCAACAAGTAATGCCTAATGCTACCGATTCAGGGAAGATTGGAAATCAGATGCAACAGTTAGGAATAGAAGTATAGGACACAAATTTTTGTTGTCTCTATTGAAAATAAAAATTCCATATCTAACTTTTATTACTCCCTCGATGGAATAAAAATTAGTCAACATTGTATATATTATATATAAGGGTCGGTTACATTAATTTTGTTCCCCGTAGTTCGATCTTACCGATACCCTTTGCCGTTTTGGAACGGAATGTGTTTTAGATGATGTCGCAATCATATAACTAAAATAAAAATGCATAGAAATGTAATGGAATGCCTAAAACCTAATGTTTTACAATGTCACGGCAGAGCAATTTGGTTTACATCATGACATGTTTACCTAAGTCTATATCGGAGCAAAGCTTTGGAGGTACTTTCATGGCAACAATCTTCACCTCTTCAAACATTTCACAATTTCATTAACAAACAAACAAAGTAGCTAGGAACAACTAACTAATGAACTCAATCCGTCTTCCTCATTCCTTTTCGGCACCTATAATGTCTGCTCGTGTGGTATAAGGTCGTCGTTTCATTTTCTTCTTTTTGCGCTTCCACAATCACTTGAATACCATACAAGAAACAAGTAGTCTCTTCTGTTCCAAAAAAAATAAATTTATCTTCGTTTAAGTTTTAAAATTTATATTAAAAACTGTATAAACAGTGACGGAACGAGAATTTTCAAATCGCGGGGTCGAAAATAAGATTATTTAACAGTCATCGGAGGGTCGAACTGAAAAAATTTCAAATAATGGACACCTTACTAAGAAAAAATTTGGCCAAATTCAGCCAGCCGGGGGGTCGATCGACCACCCTGACCCCCCCTTAAATCCGTCACTGTGTATAAATCTAAAAATTCAATGTAGATTATTTTCCTTGGACAGAAGTAATAGTATTATATTCTTGGAAAAACGACATTAGCATCGATGAGCCATATTGTACAAGTTTCTAAAAATGCTGGTTAATCAAATACATGATGATGATATCATGAAATTTTTGTTCTCTCAAAACAGTTGCAACAACTTGCAAGTTGGCGTTATAAGAGATAGTATATTGAATCATCCACAAGAAATAAGCCCCCAACCGTGATTGATAGGAACTGGCTGCTCAATAGATTCATGACATCGAAATTGAATAAACCTTAGTTTAAGTGTTCTTTTATGATGATTCCGGGCCTTACTTAATTCGAGATTTAAAGTGACTTTTTACTGTTGAAAAGTGCACTTTCATTCTCACAACGCCAAATTTGACAAGAAGATTCTAGCTCTGTTTTGTGGGTGGGTCATACTTTTTTTTTCTTCCACCCACACACCACACCCCCACCCCCCTGCATGTTAAGGTGTCGTTTTGAGAAAATTTGGCTAGTTGATGTAAAAATGGGAGAATTTTAGTGGAAAACAAGAAAGTGACTTGAAGAAAAATCTCTTTTTGAACTGATTTGAAAAACAAAAATTCTATACGGAACCTGTTTACATTATCTTGCAATGAACTCCAATTTTTGTTACATTTTTCAATATATTACTCATCTGATCTCTGAATCACTATCCTATATGTTATTGCCTTCGCCTAATCCTTGTTACATGCCCATGCAAGGATCAACAAATCAATTTGAACATAGACTTGACAAAACCAACACAATATCTTTATCACTTACATTAAGTGGTGGTCGTTTCCAATAGGCTGTTTTAGTGTTTTAGATCTGTTAATCTCAATATAAATCAATCTAAACAAACACTCCTTCTGTCTTCAAAGAATATTCACTAAAAGTAAATTTGAATAATTATTTTGAGACAAAAAGAATATGTTGGCATGAACATATATTAAAATACTCTTAATTTAGAACTGACTTTGCATAAATAAGCTTCGAGCAAGTCATGTCTATTCGGAATTAAAAAGTGGTCTATTTGGCTCAAATTTAGAATAATTGGACAATAATTTCAAACTCCGAACTGTGTAACATACGAAACAAGCCAAATTGAAGTGAGTCTACAAGGCCGCTACTGAAATAGTATTTGACTCCCATAGTAACACAACAAGGTCTTTGTATACCAACAAACTCAAAAATTGTCCAATGAATGCTAGATCTTAAGTGGGATAACACGTGCAACAAGCAATTTCTCGTTCTAACATATTACTCCATACGTGTATATCAAAATAAATTGCGTTAAAAACTGGAAGAGAGGGAATAATCATTTGCGAAATAAAGATTTGCCTAATGCCATTGCGAGGAAATGAAAATAATGTTTGTTTGGATCATTAGGGAGGAAATATGCATCCAAAATAATTGGCAGCACAATTGCAGAGAGCATGAGAATTACCAAAAGTTTACAAAATCAAGACAAACTAGTGACAAAATGGGCATATGTAATATGTTGATCCACAGCCACCAAAAATCGTTATCTCACATGATTCCACACAACATAGTGACAAACAAGTTCTCAAGAAAGTCTCAACCTATTCACATGTTCTTCCCCTTTTTGACAATTTCCTATTTTTTGACTAATCCCCAAAAACCTCATTATTGAACATGATTGACAACCTTTCCAACACTCCTCACCTTAATTAATTAACAACCAAACAACTGATCATGTGTGGGTTTTTCGAATCAAACCCATGTAGAAGAATCTAAATATTCCCGAAATACTTGTAAGATGTTGGGAAACGTTACGATCCCAACCACGCTTCCATCTTCTTCGATCACCCAAACGTAACTCACCCGATGAGCTATTGCTTGCATCATCACCGCCACCAATGAACTTCCTGGATGGCAAACGATTGCCTCCGCCCTTCTCACGATCCTCGCCGAGTAGCTGCTCGACCGGCTGTACCTGCCGGAGCTTATCAGAGTCGTGTTCGGCGACGGCAAATCCTCGTCCGACGATGACAACGACGACGACGAATCCGACGACGATGTATCCGTCATGAATTCCTCCAATATTCCCATTAGATTCCTCTGCTTTAGCCTTTCCGTCACGGCCCTGAATATGTCCTCAGGCGGGCCGCCGCAATCTATGTACGACATGAGGTCGCCGGCGGTCAAAGTCGCTATGGCGGCCGCGACGGTCTCGTCGCAGCAAGCGAGGGTGAAGGGGGAAATTTCACCTACCAAAATCCCCTCGTCGTCGACGACGGCCACCGAGGTCTGGTTGTTGAGGGAATCCAAAATGGCTCCGGTGGCGGAACTTGCCCGGGAATGGTACGGTATAGATGAGAAGTCGGTGGTGATTAGGCCCAGCCTCTCGACGGATAGAGTTGGGATGGGTGAGAAAAGACCAATTGAGTTGAGGAGGAATCTGATCACGTCTTCCTGGGTTAACCAGCAGAATTCCCGGCCGTTATGGATCGTCGGAGTAATTGATGATGATTTCTGGAGGAATTTCCTTTTGGAGCTGCTGGTGAATCTGGTCTTGATAGGTACAACTAGATTCTGAGCTCCTTGAAGAATCAAATCAATTGCTTCCACCAGACTGTAAACAATACAGATTCAAAAGCAGGGGAAGTAAGTAAAAAACTGAAAACAGGGGACTTGAATTAACTGAAATTAGATCGCTCAATTTGCCAAATTCCCCCCAATATTTGTGACAACCGTTACCTACCCAGAGGCCAGAGCTTTAATGGTTTTGAATTACAGTTTAATACATCATTAATTTAGTCAAATTCACACACACACACACACACACACACCCCATACGGAATTAAGTGCACGAAAGGGTTTAATTAATCAATTGGGGGAAGAAAGTAGTAACTGTATAATGAGGACAACATTACAGAAAATGTCAAGTTTCTTGAAGTGTGCAACAGAACAAAACAAACAAATTAAAGTAATACTAGTATTTCTCTGGAGAGAGAGAAAGAGAGAGATAATTGATACTAGAGTATTTTCAATCCATATCCAAATCACCTTGAAGAGGGTTCCACGTGCCTGACTTGGCCGGGAACGGTGGACAGCAATGCAGAAACAGGGGATTTCAAAGCAGAACGTGGAGACTCAAGGTTGTCTTCCCTGCACAGGTAACAAATGATGTCCACCATGCAAAGCTTACCGATGCAAACACAGGAATCATCACCACCATTAGCAAAGTTGCTGGTCTTTTTGGTATGGTCACAGCTCCAAACACTGATGCAATTGTCGTCGGAAGATTTGAGAGCGGACAGAGCATCAGCAATGGTGGCTGAAACCGAAAGGGATTTCAGAGCTGGCTTTCCTAAACAGAGGTCAGCTACCTCATATGCTAACAACCCAGATGCTGCTGCCATGCAAGCAAATTCAGACGGAAATTTCGACTGAAATGTTTTGAGAAAAATTATATACTATTTGGAGAGTGAAAAAGAAACTTGATTGTTGAGTAAAAACTAAAAAGGTTGGAGGTGACATATATATAGAGAGGCATAGAGGTTAAGATGGGCAGAGGTGTGTGGTGGACAGCAGGGCATATACTATATTATACGGACCGTTTTGTTGGAATTATTTATGAGTTTTGATGTCTTGGGGAGAGCATGTGATTTTTCTTGTTGTAATAAATTAGGAATTTTAATTTTCTTATAACCACCTTTTTGCGTTACATTAGTTAATTTTTGCTTATGTTTGTTTAGACATTTTCATTTATTAAAAAAATAGGTATAGGTCGAGGGTTCGAATCTCGCCATGGGGATAAAACAATTTTAAATATTTTGGCCAGCTGTCCCACTCATCGAGGTACCTACAATTCAGCTAAGGGGATTAATCAATGTTGCTGACGGTGGACACTCTTCAAATATGGAAAAAAAAAAAAAAGGGGGGTATAGAAGAAGTACTAGAAAGTTATTCTTGTCATACCTAATTAGTTAAGGAAATCAATTTCTCACACGATAACCTAATTAAAAGAGATACACCGACACCATGCGATAAGATTAAATCTTGTAAAGCATATGAAACAAATAACTCCAATTGAAACCATACTTGAACATATTACTAAATGCGTGTGAGGAATCATTGCTCGGGTTTTGTAAATTTTGTAATTGAACGAAAATACACACAGATAAGTACTGTTTTCATTTTAAACAGATGTTGTTGAAGGAAAAATTAAATTTTTTAAAATAGATGTTGTTCTCACAAAGCATGTTTTGCCAAATTTTTTTAATATTATCCTTACATTGGAAATTATAATTATGTTTAATGTAAATTTATATTAGAACCAAATATTTTTTGGACTGTAATTATATCGAGAGTAAATGAGAGTATTTTAGTATTATAGTAAACAATAGAGTAGTTCACTTTCATCCTATTAATTTAATTGTGAAATGTTTACTATTTTTTGGAGGAACTACATTTTACGTTTTGACCGATCTACCATAAATTCTCCCAAGTTTTACTAATATTAGCATATTAGCATATTAGGGTCTTAAACATTTTTTTTCCAAAAAAAAAATTCTTAATAGGCCCCACTTAAATGTGACAAAACTCTACTTAAAAAATCCACCCAGAAGATTTACTTAGAGCCTTATCACCAGGCTAACATCCCGTTCCCAACAAGAGTGTTAAACATTAAAACGACTAAAATGACATATTTCAAATTCGTTTTTTTTTTTCACTTTGTTTTCCCCCTTTTTTACCATTAAGAATTAAAATTACTTAAGTTCTCATTTTCACATTTAATTATAATGTAACTTAATAAATAAAAGTCAATCTCTGATAAATAATATAAATTTATTATGCTTCAAAAAAATATAAGTTATTTAATCAGGACTATTTTATTTCAAAAAACATGACGTAGTTAATTTCAAAATTTTATTATTAAAGTTCATTAATGTAAAATAATTAATATTCAGTATTTTATGATATATTTTTAAAAAATATTTAAACTGTATAATTAAAAAAATATATAGGTTGAAGGGTAGTTTTAACCATTTATAAAAAAAGTAATGATATAGCGGTTTGTTAAGGGGTACATTTGGCAGGTTAGCTATGACTGTAACGGGATATATGGTAATATTACCGAAATTCGAAAAATTTATAATAGATTGAGCCAAAATTTGAGAGGTACAATGTTATTCGCCTTGTTTTTATATATAATCGATGTATCTCCCTCTTTTCTGTGCTTTTTTTTTTCTTTTTGTTCCAATCACATTCCCTCCATTGCGGCAGCCATAACGAAATTTTATCATTTTTTCTAGGGAAAAAAGTGCAACAATAATATTTACCTCCATCTTGGCTCTTGCAGGCACTTTTTTATGATTTAATTTTAGACCGATTTTAAAAATATTTAAACTCATAGTTACAATCGAGATTTTTAAGGTCACTAAATCGCTATTTTCATCTACAAACGCCATAAGTAAGACAAAAGATCAAATTTGCGAGAATAAGTTCTATGCTTCGTTTGATTGATTTTCAATGGTGGAGTTCATTTGATTAAATTTCATACTTGCTTTGCGGGTTTGTTTACTTAAAAGATTTGGATCTGCAAAAAAAAATTTCGAACTGATTGGTTTTTAGTATTCATGGGGTTTTTTTAGAGGGGGAAGGTGTAAGGGTGGGGTAGTGTTGATTTGGCTTCTCAGTTTTTCAGTATGAGTTTTAACTAAGAAAAATAAACAGTCACTAAGTGATTTCTGGGTGAGAGACATAATTACATACTGCAATTTCCCAATATCAAAATTTTGTAACTCTCGTTGCTCTTGTATTTGGTATAAAATTGTAGATTTGGGGAAAACTCATTAACACAGGTGGGGTTCATTTGTTCTTTGATGCAAGCTGTATTCTAGATTTTTATATGTGAATGTTTGATATGTTATATGCTAAAGAAAATTATAACTATAATTAGGAAAGAGATATTATATAACAATAAAGAGAGAAGAGAAAGAAAAATACCTTTAATTTCATAAGGGTAGTTTTGAAAAGAGAAATATGTCAAAATGTATTGTGATGAAAAAATATATATTGTAAATTGTCCTTTCTATTAGGGATGGGGTGGGCTTATCATTTATGGGTAATAAAAAACTAAAAAAGAACAGTAACTCACTTTATTTCAAAAAATATGGATAATGATTGGTACAAAGGAAAAATGACAAGGAAAATTATAAGGAAATGATCCATCCATTGTTAAAACTTTCCAAATAGTGTTTATGCATTTAAGGTTAGGACATAATTAAGATCTTGACACATCATTTCTTGTCATTTTTCCTTTTCGTTTTTTCCTTGTACCTATCACTACTCAAAAAATATTATTTTTATTTCGAAACATTACTTTTTCCAATATTTTTTTTCCTTTTTTTGGTAGAAGCAATATTATGTTTTAATTTAAATAAATCTGCACTTTCTTTTATTCACTCCTCATTACTTCATGGCGCCTTATTAGTTCTTCAAATTAACTCCAAGTCCAGTTTCCAATTTTCTAAGCCTAAACTCAAACTCAGCCACTTCTAGTTTAATAGCACTCAGCCACCTCTCATGCACAAGAAATCTAAGAAGCCAACTGGCATAACAACGATGACTTATGAAAAAATTTCCACGAAAAATTTTCAACTAATGTTTAACTTGGAATTTTTTCAGTAATTTCCACCAAATATTCTTAGTGTAGTGGCTATTAACTACCTCTATCCTTTCACCCCCCCCAAAAAAAAAAAGCTCTATCAAGCAGTGTCACGAAAAATAAGGGTTTATATGGACAATAATTAAATGTTGAGTTCATACTAGCACACATTAAGGATTGCAGATTGAAATATTTTAAAGAAAGTCGACAAACCATATGTTTTACCCGTATCTAATTATCGTTTATGCAACTTGATTTTGCTATATATGCATCTCAATGTCATTTCAAATGGAGAAAAAATGGACATAATAACTAAAAGTGATGTCTTGAAAGTGTAAGATCACAGATGAAAACAAAAACTCGCATTTATCTTTTAAAACCCCTTTAAAAAATGAAGGGAGCATAAACCTCAAGACAAATTATACTTTTCGCCAATTAATATAAAATTTACGACGGAGCTAGAGTAACACATTGAAATAATGAAAATAAGATGGAAAAGCCCTTCTCCCATGAAAGTTGTTATGTGGGATTCAATCAAGTCCATGGTGTATATGTTAATAAAGATTTTGTGGAATAGCTTAGGATTATCGGGTTATTCGTGTAAACTACTCCAAAAATATAGATTATTATTGAGTTTGGCAAAAAAAATAAAATAAAAAAAAACTTGATTAGACCAACATGATTAAGCCCTTAACATGAAAACATAATCTAATCTTAGCCGGCCACATGATATTGATTGAAAAACTTGTGGACCAAATTGCTTATCACTAATTTTAGAAAATTTCTTATGTTGTGGGAGCTATGAATTTGCATTAGATTAATTTTGTCCGGAAAAGTACAACAATCATTGTACTATACGCGATAATGTACATTCTTCGAATAAGTAACACACCTTTTCACATTGGGATTCAGAAGGAGGTAAAATTTGGACAAACCTGGCATATGGTGGACAGACAGAGTTTTGGTGCAACACCAAAAACTAGCTAGCCGATCGAAATCAATACTATTATTTCATAGACCATTATTTCTTGTACGAATCCATTCATACATATCCCCAAACAGATTAATTATCATGTCAATTCATCAATGTCTGGAACCAGTGCTCTTCATTTCAACTACATACATGTGCATATATATATATATATATATATATATATATATATATATATATATATACACACACATATGTGTGTGTGTGTGCGCGCGCGCATTTTCAAGCCTTTTGAAGGAATAATTAAAGGTTAAATTGTTAATGAAATGATAGTGAGTGGGTAGCGAACCAATCTTATGTGGCGCGAATAATTCAGCTCTACATGGTAAACGACATAAAGATTTCGTTGTTTGGATAGTAATTGTCAACATTATCTGCAAGAAGAATACAACATCCTCCTCCTCTCATCTCTCTTTGTAAAATCTATGAAAGTAAGGAACAAAATACTCTTTATATTCACAATGTAATTTGTGAATTATACTACTAAAAACAGGATATTGTAATTCACAAATTATAATGTGAATTATTTTTTTCCCCACTCTTATACCCTAACAAAATGTATACACAAGTAAAAAAAAAAAAAAGGAAAAAAGAGAAAAGTAACCGAATATCATTCGATTTTCGATATGTAAGAGATCTACTTTAGGTGTTCCTAATTCTTTGCTATTCTGAATTCCTGATTAGATCAGCCCACTTGTTGATCATATACTTACATTTCACTCAGCCAGTAAGCCAGCAGAATCATACATAATAAATGTGTTCCTTTTCGAGGGTTTGTCCAAACGAAAAATATATTTTATAAAATTCACGCCTACTACTACAATTTAATTAAGTACATCTATCACTGTAACATGTTGCCGTTTTAGACGTTGACTTGTCAATTATGCTCGTGGGGGAAAAGCGCACATTCAATTAAGTTTACCCAAAAATTGGAAAGGAAGAATCCAAA